TTTTACCTCAACCAATACCTTTCAAAAATATTAATTTATAAATTAATCTAGAAGGACTCACTGTCATTGACGCGTTTTCCTTGAAAGTAGGCCAGAAAATTTTTCTCCAGACTGCAATGAATGAAGCAAACATTTTGCATTATAGGTTTTTAAATAGATCACGTTTTCCAGCGTGATAACAAAACCCATTGTTGGTGTTTAAATGCAAATCTCATTCTGTTGATTCCGCAGGTGGTTTTGCTGTACCTTTTTATGGTAGAAGGGCTGCCTATACGTTTGGACACATGTCCTTTTCGTCGAACAATAAATCAACTTCCTCTTCGCCACGCGACATCTGCTTCCGCTCTCGTGGCCCTCTTCCTCCCAGATGCTCATCACCTGACGCCACTTTCTTTTAGAACAATCCCTTTATTTTATAAAATTGTTCTGGGGCAATGGATTTCCTAACCGAGACGTGTGCCGCTTTAGTTCCCCTGCTCGCACTCCTTACTTCACCACATGTTACACCAAACCACATAACCTGACTGTATGTGGAAAATATTTACTTGTAGTTTGGTCGTTTCGGATCATTTTGTGCTACCCAATTCAAGCTGTTTTGGTCACATCAATTATCAGATGAAGTTGGTAAGACAAGTTTGACAGACCAAAATAACGTTACTCAGACTAAAATGATCGGAAGCGACCGAACTATAAGTTCATCACCATTCTCCTTGCAGACCCTATAAGGAGATTTCTCAATTTATTTACTATTTACTTCGAATTAGAAAATATTTTCATATTATCTCATAGTTTTTCTTTTTTCCAGAAGGAAGACATCTCATTTATGAGAAATTTTTGTTCCAAAGCGTTCTTAGCCCTTTCTTATCCTTAATTAAATGAGCTTTGGAATGAGGACCTTCTCAATTGATAGGCCATTATTTTAACTAAAATATCCTGAAATGCAATAAAACATTTCATAGAAAAACCGTAGCAACAGATGGAAAGCAGTTTTGAGGCAGGCGGAGTCACAGATGGTCGGCACGAGCCGTCCCCGTGTTCTGTATTACTGAAACTTTTGTTCTATTCTTTTATCAATGACCGAATTTTTTGTTACCCGACAGGCCGGCGGAAATCGCTTTTAACTTTCCTCGCTTGTCGATATTTTATCGAGGTCGTCACAATTTGGGGCAGGATGTTCTAAAATTTGCCTTAGATTTGTTGTACGATTCAATAATTAGTGGCTGTAACGGCTGAGGAATAAGGATCAGCGTTTTTGGAACTTCTTAAACGAAAACTCAATGCAAAAATGTTCCTTTTCCTGCAGACATCGAAAACAGTAAAACTAAAATTCAGCAAAGAAACCTAAGGACTAAAAGTGTATAAATATAGTGCAGAATCTAGAAGCTGTTCAAGGAGCATTTACTAAATTTAACACTTTATATTTTCGAGGATTATGCAAGTTTTCATAGTATTCTTGATTTAGAAAACAGGACAAATATTTTACAATAATAATTATTGATGTATAATGTACAGTTCACATCGATCTCACTTAGACCATATCATCTGATCTCTGAGAATCCTCTAAATAATTCACTAGTTTTCGTGGTCCGCTTGACCAATTAATATCTTTCAATTAATTAAGGTTTTTAGTTGAGATAAAAAAGTCAGTGTCACAAGCAGGATTCGAACCCACAACCTTCATCTAGATACGCCGCTGCTCTACCACTTGAGCTATCGTGACTTCGATCCACTCGGACACTAACTTCCCATCTCAACCTCTAAATAATAATTTTTATTTTCTTTTAGTTATATATCATATTTAAATAGCTGCTTTAAATTGTTTCCATTAATTTATTTTAGCCTGTTTATCCGTGCTATTTTGGTCGGTCAGATGCATTTCGGTTTCTAGTCACCATCAGTGGATGGCCTGCAGCAAATAATAATAATAATAATAATAATAATAATGTAGGAAAGCCGACAAACAGCTGAGGTCATCGCCAGCCTTCTGCGTGATTTTACTTCTTTTTTCTGGTCTTTCATGCGCATTTTTGATCCTGCTGCCATTTCAGCGCCTCATTCTTTTACTGACGCTCTGCTTTTATATGAAAACTAAGACGATATGCTACAATATTGACCTCTCATTTGTACCGATCAATATTCCTCGGGCGAGGTTACACAATCACTTCATTTCACGCTAATAAATTACATTCATTCCGACAATTTAACATAAAAGCAAAATCCAATATAAACACAGAAGTCTAGTCATATTCACTCACCCAGAGGTCGAACCTACTCCATTCTTACCTAATAACTTGCTTAAACTCTCCAAACGTCACACACTCACCCCAGAGTACTTTGTATTATATTTATTTATTATTGACCATTCATATAATTTTTCCATTCCCATTTGGAGTCATAGGGATTTCTCCCTTTAGCCCTTTAGCTTTCATCTATTGTGTTCAATCTCTGCTAAATGATTTCCTAGAAGATTTTTGTTTCTTTTATGAACTAGACAATTTTTATCAGGGGTTTGGTATCAAGGGCTGCAAGCTTAAGAACGGCCTCCCCAGATGTTTTTTTCTAGCTATTGCGGGAAAGTTGTAGGATATGTACTGTTGTCTCTTTCTAGATATAATCGACATTGATCATCTCTCGATAGTCCCATTTTTTTTTTAAGGTGGTTCTTTACTGTAGCATGTCATAAATATATACAAGTTAGAATTTTTAATTTCTTTCTGTTAAAAATTTTCTCTTTCTCCCATTGAGCTGTTTTTGCGAGTAGTATTTTTGCTTGCCCCATGCCTGATTTTTTGCACCCAATTGTGATGCCACAAAATGAATTTGGGTCTATGAGCTGTTCCTCCTTTTTTAACAAGTATATCTCCTGCCTCTAATTCCTGAGATCCACTCTAGCATTGTGACATAAATTGAAATAATAAATTTTATTTTCTTCTCATGCAAAAATAAAGATTAAATTAAAAAAAAATAGTCATGACTATTAGTCATAATGTTGATCTTAACTTAGACGGACCAAAAAGCATACTTATTGACGATCTCAAAGAGACCACCAAAAAATTAAAGGAGTATGTAAAAATGTTGATTCTTTAAACCTAGGCTTAAAACCTTGCCAGTTGATTCAGATACAATCATATTTTGCTTCCATTTACTTTAAACTATACTGCCATTACTTTAATGCTAAGCAAACAACTAATGATGGTGTCCTAATTTTCACTGCCAAATGCAGCCTGAATTTGACTGTTACTGAGGAAAAGCATGAGGATATTTCAACCAATACAGCTAAAATTACTTTCAAAACTAATAATTATCTTATTTGTATAGTAGCCTTATAATGAACCGAGCCTTTTAAAATAATGATTATTTTAGTAGTGATCTGAACATCATTTTTAACTTGATAATAACAATTTTAAATCCCCGTATTTTGTACTTATCAAAAAGAAAACTGTTTAAAAAAATCTTAATATTATTTATAAACCAAGATTTATTAAGAGAATAAACTCAACCATTCAAAGAGCCAACAACTGCAGAGAAAGTTGTTTTGATCACATAATTAAAACTAACTAAAGAATCAGTCACAGTATATTTTTTCTAATTACATTCTACCTTTTAACATCACTGATCACTCTTCAACTGATTATCCACTAATCTAAAAAAATTAACTTAGTAGTAGTAAAAAATAACACAATTGTGCAACCAAATATACCATTAATAATTGACCAACATTAACCACAGCAATCTTGTAAACATCACAACCATTGTAACTACAATGATTTCTGAAGGCAACCATCTTTTTATTTTTCAAGATTTATGCAGATTTTCAGTCTTTCAGAATGCAGTCTTTCAAGATGCAAGAAAATTTTAGATTAAAAAAAATTAATTTATACAATGCTAGAAAATTTTAAATTCAATCAAAGTATTTGTACTCACTCAGAGGTTTTTTTTTTATTCCAGTGGCACTCTCCAAAATGACACATCTTCATGGAAAAACAAATTCTTTGAGTGAGTACAAATAGTTTGATTGAATCTAAAATTTTCTAGCATTGTATAAATTCATTTTTTTTAATCTAAAATTTTCTCGCATTGTTTAAATTCATTTTTTTTTAACTAAAATTTTCTAGCATTGTATAAATTCATTTTTTCTTTTTTTGTACATCCTACATGTATTTGTAAAATTTAAACATTCTTTATAAATCCCATGCCCTTAAGATGATCTCAATAAATATTTAAACGTTGACATGATAAAGAAAATGTTTTTCTAAAACCTATGTCACACCAAACCGCACCTCACGATCTCCAAATAATCATAAGGAACAATGTGAAAACATTGCAGGCTCAAGACACAACCTTAATGTGTAAAGTCCCAGGTAGATTAGTGATGGCCATTAACATTTTTGAACAATATGAAAAATAAACAAGCCAAAAATAATTTAATTGATATAAAGAAAGTAAAACGTCGGATATACCATTTATCCACAACCTTCTTAATAATAATATTGACTCCCCAGAATTTCTATCATTCCTCAATTTTCATGTCCCATCTGTCCACATCTACAGTATAACAGTATACTACCATCCAATTTCCTATATCAGTTAAACTTCTCGCACACCCAAATACCAGAATGATGGTATGGTCAATATCAGACCTGACAGTTTAGATATTATTAATACTTCTAAAATCAGTTTGAAGAGGAATTTGTGAGGAACTTGTACAGCAACAGTCAATTTGTGTGTGTGTGTGTGTTTGTGTATGTATACCAGATGTGCTGGTTGATTGTTGTTTTGCATATATATGTAAACCTTATTAACCTTTACAATTGTTTTTATTTACTAGTCAAATTCCAAATTCCATTTTATTATTGTTATTGTTTAATATTTCAATTTTATATACAAATAAATAGCATGTTTTAAATGCTATTTTTCTTCTTATAATTATTGTAATAAAATGGGCTATTTCCCGAAAATATCTAAATAAATTATTTTATGAAAATGAGTTAATTTGTTAATTGTCTGAGTGATATAAGAAAAAATATATTTGCTTTTATTTTTTATATAGCATCAGTGGTTACTTGATCTGATTCTTGATTTCTTTTCATCTCATAAGCGTATTCAATTTTATGAAGGATGTTAGCAATTTTTGTTTGGAGACTCGATTTTGTACATTTAGACAAATTGTTTTCTTTTCGTTCTACCATCATTTCTTTCATCTCTCTCAAATACAAGTCCAACTCTTGGTTCCTTTTTTCAACTGTGGCGAGAAAGTTCAAAGATGCATCCTTAATAACTTTTTTCATATCGTCTGCCAGTTCCAATGCTTCGACTTTCAGACAGAGTTTGTAGATGGTCCCTCTTATCTCTTTCAAAACATCCACAGTCCGTATTAAAACTTCTTCCTGGAGATACCCAGAAATATTATTATTGCTAGAAACAAAACTGTACAATAAGAATTTAAGTGCGGCATTGCTACTAATCATTAGCAGACAAAATGTCTTTATTTTCTTTCGAGCAACTAATTATAATAAGAAAATATAATTTTGTTAACACAGCGATCCTATATTTCATCCTTTTATAATCTTCACTAAATTCTGATTAAAACAATAAAAAACTGTATTTGCATGGAAATTTAGCTTAAAAAACTAACTTGGTTGTATATTTTGTACTCATATTATTAAAAATAAACTTGAAAAGTTTATTCGAACAGATTGGCACTTGATCACTTGTCTACTCTTGTGGGTTATGATTTTATGTAAACACATTTAGACTTTGCGCCATCTTCTGTGAGGAAAAGAGTTCTCTAAGTTAGTTTATTTAAAGCAAACTAAAATCAAATGAAACATACTGAGTACTGTTGGGCATTAAAACGTACTGAAACTTTGATCTTAATTAGAATATAAAAATTCTATTGCCTTGAACATTTTATATTATTCTATTGAAGTCCATCTGTTTGAAGATTCAAAGTCAAATTCAATAAGTTTTTATAATAAAAGATGAGGAAACACAAAATTCTGAAGAATTGTGGATAGATGGAAAGAAAATGGACCGTTTTAAGTAATTTAACGTTTTCTGTTAATGCTTTTGACCCTTTTTAATATTTTTCCCAGCTGGTTTAATTTTTTTGCCCTGTGAGGGATATAATGATTCCATGGTATTAAGAAAGTCATCTATTCTAAAGTTCAAATTTTCTTTTGTGATTTGTTCTGTTTGACTTGATTCCTTAAGTGCTTCTTCTAGAAAAGTCAAGCACTCTTTAACACTTTGAACTCTCTGCTCGGCCATGGTCAAGAAGAGAGTGGCATTCTCGATAAGATCCGTTTTCAGCTCAAGACTTATTTCCAGTTCTTGAATTCCAGCAATAATTTTCTTGACTATTTCCCTCATTTCTTGCAATGGTTTTTTTGATTTTTTCACTGCTTCAGCCTGAGGAAAAAATTACAACTTAGTAGAATAAAAAGGAACTATTTACATGTTCAATTAATACTTTGTCCTCCATGTTATTTTATATATCATATTAAAACTAAATATGTATATATTTTGTACATTTTAATATTTACTATTTTAGTAGTTGTTACTTTTTTGTTATTAATCCTGTTATGTTTTTCTTTCTCTTCAAACTTCAATTATCGTTTTGTTTTCATTAGAAATTTAGTCTTATTCTTATAGAAGAGCAATGATCTCTGCTGGATAGATCTTGTTTACTATTGTCTGCTATTCTTTTGTTCTTTTATATGACACAATTTTTCTTAAACTACTTTGTAAGAAGGTTGTTTGAAACATATAGTTATCGACCTACACCCGTGGCATGATTGATAATCAATCCAACTAATCATTGTAATATCTGTATATAAAAATTTATGCAACTATTTGAAACAGCATTAAATTTATATAAGCTAATATGAGTTAATATAACTTACAGATTGAAAAAACACCTGCCTTCTAAGAATAGTTTTGTGTGAAAAATGGTAAAAATAAATAATTATCAATTGTGAGAAACTTTGCTAAATGTTAAATTTTTGAACTAATTTAGATTAAACATTAAACTTAATAAATTAAACATACAAATTTCGGATTTTATCAAATGCATTTTGACATTGGCAGATCAACCCAGGATAGATGACTAAACAGTAACACATTAAAAAAAAAATCAACTTTTAAGATATTTGTTGTTTATAGTTTAGATGTAAAAAAATTAAAGTTGATGGTGGGTTTTGTACTTATGTTGAACCTGTACAGGGTCACTTCCTTTGAAGAAGTTCCTCACTGAAAATGGTGCAATGCTGAAGCGTGTCTGCATAACTCAAAAACCCGCGAGTGGAGACAAACCCAGTAAGTGACCCTGTACTGGTTCAACATGTCTAAGTATCTGTAATCTAAGTCTGAAAACCTGTGCTACATTGTGTTAGTTAAAAATATAATAAAAACAGTAATAGTCACTTATACATTTTTATATTTAGATGGCATTTAAGCTAAAAAGTAAATGGAAGTGTAAATATTGTGAAAGATTTTTATAATTTTAAAACAAGATTACATAAACCCAGTAAAATTTTAGATTTTACAGAATTATTTTGTCATTACTTTGTCTGCCTTAACTCATGAATAATTTACAAAAATATTGGTAAGCAAAGTTATAATTTGAAACATTTCTTCTATTTCTTTTATTTCAAAATAGAAATTTTCATTTGAATAATAATACTAATAAAGAAATTTGGTTACTCTAGAACAACAAATTACATGATCAATTTGTTATATTTACTTCTTACGAATAATTTCAAATCATAACTAGTCTTCAAAAAATCCTTTTAAGTTTTTCAATTAATTTTTCGACTGCTTTCACAGCTTGTTCTTTATTCAAAAGTTGCTGGTCGTCTATCGTAAAATTTGATTTGAGATTGACCAAAATATTTTCTAAATTGTCTTTTGTAAATTCAGCATTATTAATAAAAGCATCGGCAGAATTTTCAATTTTTCTTTTCCTCTCTTCTGGTAAGTCACATGCGTTGATAGCCACCTTTATTTGTTTTGCAATATTCTTCACCTCTTCCAGCTCATTTTTATACTTCATTATTACTTCTTCCTAATTAAATTAATTCCAAATTAGTAACATTTTCCTCATACTTTGAAATAGAATTCTATGATTATTTTTCTAGTCCATTTCTAACTCAAAAACTCAATTATTTGTTTTTTTCCAGTTTGAGTGAAATTTATGTTTTATATATATTGACAGGTGTTCAATAAACACTAATGTGTCATTAATAATGATAAATTGAAGTAAACTTACCTACTATGAATATATTTATTTGTCGAATAAGGCGAGACTAGGTGGTGGGTCACCCCCTGAAATTGCGTCCCTTATATTTGCTAGTTGATTGAGTACAAGCTGGATCTTGGGTCCCACTTTTTCTGGTGTTAGTTTGTTTTTGTTGGCAGTCTCCATCTTTTTTGCTATGAGATCAGCATCTTTTAATAGCATTTGAGCCTCTCTGTGCTTATCATTTATTACATTTTGGAATTCGACTAGTTTAGTTTTATATTGTTGTAGTTTATCTTCTTTGATATTAAATTCATTTATTACTTTTTTTAGCTTCTCCAGACTTGGATTCATTTCGTTCAATAATCGTTCAAAATTTTTTGCTCCTTCGATCTATTTTAAAAATTTTGAGTTAGCGTTGGGTTGGAAAGTGAAATAAACGATCACTAACTGAGAATATGAAGAGAACAAATTTTTTAAAGCAGTTTCAATTTAAGAAACGGTGTACACTCATTAAATGGTATATTCCTAATTCCTTTCTCATTTACTTATTTATGTCAACAGAGATCAATATGTTTCATTTTTTATTGTAACATCTAACTAAAACAGATTTTTTCCTATTTTTGCTATTGTTATTTTACCATTTTGACTTCACTGTATAAACCTTTTACAATACTATCTAAATTATTATTCAGTGAAGGAAATTAAGAAGAAACTTACCGGAAACGTGTATTCAATTAAAGAGTGAGAGTTGTTCTGGAGAGTTGTTTTGGGACGAGGCTGCTTTAATGTTTATTACATCGGCAATAGCGAGTTCAAGCTTTTTACCAAGATTATCTTTTGTAAATCTGACTTTGTTTGCATTATCCATTTTCTTTGCCATTTCATTTGCATCTTTTATTAACATTTCGGCATCAGTTTTGTTTGCTTCTACTATAAATTTAAATTGATCTAGTTTATGTTGAAAATGTGTCTTTTTTGGCCCAGGTTCAAATTCATTTATGACTTTTGTGAGTTGTTCAAGATCTGGATTGATATGGTTTATTAACTCTAAATAACGGGTTGCATCTTCTTTCTGTTGTAGAAGTATTGACGTTATTAATCTAGCGACTCAATTTAAATGTAAAATAAAATTCATCTTATTCCTTTCTTTAAAAAAAAATTACATACCCGCTTTTGATATTTATAATATTATGTATATTAATGTAATAAAAAAAGAAAAGAAAAAAAATGCAGGCGCAATTTAAGTTTTGTTTCAAATATTGGTATAAAAAGCTAGTTTAGAAACATTGGGGCTTGTTTCAAAAAAAGATAACTGCAAAATACAAGCAATTATCTATTTAACAAACTTGAAATTCAAATCTTAACATTAATAGATGTCTTCTTCTAAATAATAATACATCAATACATTACTTAAAAACTACAGTTATGTAAATGGCCAATGGTAATGAAAAAAATTGTATAGTTTTCTTTGATTGTGAACAGACGATAGACTGATTTTGGTTATTGAATTAGTCACCATCTCTGCATTCCCCATCTTTAATGAGCTACGCTTTCATCAAATTCAGAAGAACTTTCAGCTTAATACAGAGATGGTAAGACCAAGTTTTATTGTTTATTCTACTTTCTTGATATTAAGGTGATATAAACTTAATTCAAGTCAAGATGTGAAAGGTAAAAGTGTTCACCTTTACTAGAAGTGTAATGATTTTATGACAATGGTCAAGGGAATTTTGTTTTAAATCTTCAAGACAACAAAGCTATGAAAAAAAGAAAATCATCGTTTTTTATCATCCGTTTTGCTGCCAGAGGGTCTCTGAACTATTTGTAAGCCAAAAGGGTTCATATCTAATCGGCATTCCCTCGAAGCGTCTACTGCTTCAAGCCACTGATCTATCTTCTTTTCATAATTTGCAGTTGTGATTTTAGCTTTGTCTGATTTGTCCACCTTTTTCAAGAGCCGTTTTATTTCTCTGAGATAAACACCGGAGCCTTTAATGACTTCTTCAGCAGACAGTTTGAACGAATCATATTCTTCTTTCATGATTTGTAACTCTTCAACTGACCAGTTTGTTTGTTCCATAGTTGAAATTAATTGTTTATAGAGAACTTTTATTTCTTCTAAATCTACTAATATATTCTGCGTAATAACCTCCTGTTTAAATAACATAAAATCAATTCAGTATAATTATTTCTTATAATTAAATGATTGTGATCAAGAACATATCCTCTCCTTGTAATTTTTTTTTTTTTGTGTGTTATTGATCTTAATACACACAATTTACTCACAGAGTTAAATGAATGATGTTTTTACTCATATCTAATACCAATAAATCTAAATAAAAAGTTTTAATTATCTTCTAAGATAATATATGTAAACATATTTACTATTTTTATGTATTTATTTTGTATGTAATTTTATTGCTCAAGTTGGATTCTTATTCAGTTTCAGCATTATCTGTTATCTCCGCTTTCATTGGTTCTTCACCAGGTTTACTTTTTTTTGCTTTTTTCTTAGAACTCTTTGATTTGACTGATTTTGATTTTTTAGATTTTCTAAGTTTTGATGGCATTGGCGTTAAACCAGGGATTGCCAAATCGTCCGGTAGCGGGTGTCTTATCACATTAATTTTCTCAACCCAATTGTCAACTTGGGAACCGATTTGACTTCTTGTTAATTTCACCACATTTTCCGGAGATTTGACTTTTTTCAACAGTTCCATCAACGCTTCTAAAATGTCTTGAGCATCTTTGATCCTTTCTTCCAAAAATGATTTGAACTGTTCATATTCTACTTTTATGGCTTGCTTGTCTTTTGAAGGATTGCGAATAGATTCGTAGATGTTAATCAGTCTTGTAAATAATAATTTTACATCATCAAGAAACTCTAAATACTGAACTGTATCACAACCCTACATAAATGAAATATTATTAAAAAATGGAATTGTGCAATGAAGTTTAAGTATAAATGCAACTTATGGAAATAAGAACATAACCTCTTTCCTATTTTCTTAAAAAAAAAAAAAAATTGGTTTTGATAAATTTGTTCTTAAGTTACTACCCAGTGTGAATAATTCAGCAGTTTTTTGAAGAATGATATTTATTAGAAATTATGTTGGCTTAAAAAAGAACAAAATATAATTAATTTTGAAAATGAAAAATGTAATTAATTCACATCTTTATACCATTATAATTAATTTTAAAATACTGCTATAATTTAAGTAAAAACCATTTTTTCTTTTAATCTACTAGAGTATAAAAAAATACATGCAGTGAGAAAACCAACCAGTTTTTGTTTTAATCATGATTATTATAGAAAATAATTTTAAGCAGGGTTCTCAGGAAAATAAATATATTTTCATGTATTACATTCAAGTGTAAATAAAAATTGAGTCTTTTCAATGTTCAATGTTTAGTTAGTGCATTGAGGTAATTTTAAATTTTTAGTTTAGGAAAAAACTGCTGAACTACTCTAGTCTGAACTAAAACATTAAATCATTTTTGAACATGATTCTAATAATTGATAGAAGCAAAGTTGTCCAAAAAGCATGAATTTATAAAATTATAAATTTTTGAAAATGAAAATTTACCTTTTCGAAATAGTAGTTTCAAAATCAAAATGGCCAATGTTAAATACCTCGAGCTTGCTTCTAATTGCTAATAATTTATAAGCTTATTCTTTATGCTGGTGGCAGCCTCCCTTATTTCTTTCCAGTTGAGGGTCGACTGTTCCCTTGTGACGGTACTGATCCTTGTCCTTGTGAAGCACCTTGATTTGGGACTAAAACGATAATTGGAACTGGCTGTTTGGCCATTTGGAGTTTATTAAGCCATTCGTCAACTTTTGGGCCGAGTTTTTCCACTGTAAACTTCATCTCATTGTCTGGCGCTTCGACTTTCTTGATCAATGATCCTACTTCTTTAAGGAATGTATGGGCTTCATTTGATTTCATATCTGCAAATGATTTGAATTGACTGTACTGTGCTCTCATGAGTTCTTTCTCTTGCGGTGCTATTTCCATCGATTCAACTAGATTGACAAGTTTGTCAAAGAGAGCCATAACTTCATGGACAAGTTTTAAAAATTGCTTTGCATCACTGGCCTAATAAAGAAAATGTAAAAAATTACAGTGACTTATTTACATCGATGAGTAAATTTTTAATGTCACAAAGAACATATCCTCTCCTCTATCAACTTTCTCTCTCTTTCTCGCTTTTTTTATTCTTCATAAATTTAAGTTTACATAGTCACCATTTTTAATGACCTTAATATCTTACAATGATTGCAAAAATGTTCAATTTCTCATTAGTTAATTAAATAAAATCACTATTAAATTTCTTCCTTATAAATTTAATATATTCTTAAGCTATGTTTTACTAGTTAAGAATATAATTTTAATGTTTAATTTGCACTAAATATTTACAACAGTTATCTGATAGAATATTTTTACACCAATTCTACTAATTCTAGTTTCAAACTAAAAATTGATAGAATAACAAAAAAATTATTTTTTACATGGAATAAATTCAATTTGAAATTCATGCAATTACTTTTGAATTGTGTGTATAAATATCCTTTAATAATTGCCATAACTAATAATATAAGTTGTGTGAATTTTTATATAGTGTAAAACAATATTTTATGCTAGTTGTAGTAGTTTAAAGTTGTATCAAGAATATCAAATTGATTTATTGGCAACGGAAATAATAGCAGTGAATAATTTGTTGTGAAGATCGGAATTAATCCTTCAAAGTAGAAAAAGATCTGCTGATAGTTTATGTCTGTGTCCACTATTTTCGACCAAAGCTCTGCTCACTTCCACCCGGAGGTGGAGGCAATTCAGGAAAACGTCCTGCAGTCGGATAGACATTTTGACTTGAACCTCCGCCCTGGGTGTATCGATTTATCGGTACAACAATAACATATTGCCGTGGATCCCTAGCTGCTTCCATTTTTGCAATCCATTCATCAATTTTTGGTATAAGCTTTTCTTTATTGAACTTCATGACGTTGTTTGGATCTTCTACCTTTTTTATTAAATCACCTACTTTACTGAGGAATGCCTCAGCTTCCCTTGATTTCACATTGATGTACTGTTCAAATTTCACATATTCTGATTTCATCTCTTGAATATCTTCGGGTGAAATGTCCATAGTTTCAATCATGCCTACCAGCTCATTGAACATAGACCTGACTTCGTTGGTCAAATTTAAAAATTGTTTTGCATTTGTCGCCTACATAAATAAAATGTACAACAATTAAAGATTTTAGTATACATTCAAGAACATATCCTCCTCTTTCCTCCTCGGAGATTAAATGTTAGCATTTTGGTTGTTTTGGTCTTGAAAAGAAAGTTAAAAAGATGCCATCACTCCGGTAGCACTCACAGTCTTATCAGTTATTAAATGTAGGCATTGTAAAGAAATCATTAACACTTTCTTTAATAAATAAAATACTTTTGATACTTTCAAGTAATGTATTTAATATGAAATTTTACAGTAATAGTTTACATATTAATAAAATGAACAAACATTGTTATTTTTTATGTAAAATCTTGTTATCAAAAACACAAGTATTTATTAGAAGGAATGTTCTAATTTATAGTATGTATAAGGAAAGTTAAAACTAAAGATTTGTATAAACACTTTTTTTTTTAAATAAAACCTACAGGGTTTGGGTTTCCTTCTCAAGTCTATTGACATATTATTTGTTATTTTAATAATAGTTAAATTGTCTTACCTGAGCTTTAATAGCAGCTTTTGCGATCCTTTCTATTCTTTCATTCACGACTTTGAGTTTTTCTTCAATTTCTCGATCAGTCTCTTCACTGTCTGTACTACTTATTTGCTTAATCTCTTCCAGTTCTGTTCTTAGAATTAATGATTCTTCCTCAATCTCTTTTGGGTTTTCGTTTAATTTAGCAAATTCATTCAATTTGTTTGTGAGGATATTTTGTAATTCTGCTATCTCTTGAAGTTTCTTCTGCATCGCAGGCGATATCGTGTTGTCCATCTTAAATTTGATAAATGGTTTTCTGTATAAGTAAAATATTTGTTATTACTCTGTATTTTGATTTCTTGCAATATATTTCACTGCACATTTTAAATTCAAAGATTTAAAAGTTTACTATCTAATGTATGTGTACTTGTCATTAACATCCAATAGTTGGCTTTATAAAATTTTTCAGATTTTATAATACATCGTAAAGGTATTGAATAGAAAAGTTCATGTGATGTTCAAGTCAACAATTGTTCTCTATCATCGAATAATTTTATTTTAAAATAGTTTAATAATTAATAACGGATTTATGGATTTCATGATTGAACCACTCTGAAAAGTGTAATCAAAGCTTTAAAAAATAAAATAAACTGCAGAAACCAATATTCAGATTTGCAGAGCCGGATTTGTCTTCTAAGCAAAACTTTTATGTTAATTTTCAATCAATAAACCACATTTGTATACAACTATAGTTGGCTGTGGGTTAATATTATACAATTAAAAAATATAATTGAATTTTGATTTTACCAAAGGAATTGCAAAAATTTAATACACAGTATGGCTTGTTATTGTTTTTATTCATTTTGGTGTTTGTTTAGTTATCGTCACATTTGCTCCAAAGAAATAGTTCATTTAGCATAGCTAGTAATTTTGAAGCTCGTTTTGAGATTAATTCTTTAGGTGAAGTGCCAGCATTAGGATCGTCAATTTTCTTCAGATTCAATCTAAATTCTTTCAGATTTTCTTTCACCTGGAATTCGCTCAGTGTAGCATTCTGGATACGATTGCTTATATTTTGAATCATCTTAGTTTTGGCTTCTTCGGAAAGATCAAACCTGTTTATCACAATCATTACCAACCCCTGTAGTCTTTTCAAATCAGCAATAGCTGGTATGTATCTTTCCACTTTCAATTCCTATTGGGATGCAATTAACCAGTTAAATTATACCAATACATCATTACATCATAATGTAAAAGTAATATAATAATTTACAATGCAGTAAACAGACATTATTTTAAAAAAGAGAGCTTTGGATTATAAAATAGGTTTTGTATATTTATTGGTGATTAAAAACTAAATGTTAAAAGTAGTCAGTATGTATAACAATTGTATGTAAAGTGAACAATTTTAAATTCTATGTGTTCTAAATTGTATGTGTTTCAAATGTAACTTTAAGAGTTATTGCTTGTTTAATAATTAGTCAGTATTTAAAAGAATTAAAAGGATTTAATTCATGATTTTGTTTAAGATAGAAGGACAGTAAAGTCTTTAAATTTGCGCAAGATTAATACATTTTTAATTCCTGAAGTTATTTTTGTATATAATTACCTGATGTGTTATTGCTTTTTATTATTTGCAGGACCACCTGGTGCCTGTTGCACAGGCACTATTATAATCGCTGGCCCTCCGGGTCCTCCAGGATGAGATATTTGCTTATTGGCCCTGATCTTTTGTACCAAATCGTCTATTTTTACACCGATGTCTTCTTTGGTCAATTTTGCCTTATCAGCCGTGTCCATCTTTTTTGAAGCTTGTTCTATTTCGGCAATAAATGTTTCAACCTCCTTCGTCTTAGCGTCCGCCATCATTTGGAATTGGAGGAACGTCGATTTCATCTGATTTTTCTCATCAGAAGGCACATCAAACGAATCGATGAGCTTAAGCAATTTTGTAATTATATCTTTAATGTCTTTTACCAAGTTGTGATAGTTCTTCGCAATTTGCCGCTATCACAAAATGAACATTGTTAATTCAATAGTGTACGATTTTAACTAGCACATAAAAGGGCACAACCTCTTCAAATTTCAACCAAAACAAGTAGAATAATTTAGAATAGGCATGGCATAAAGGACATATGAATTATAACTGTATTTGCATTTTTTTTTTTAATTGTGGCCAACTTTATTTTTTTGTAATTTCATCCAATTTCTATTATAAACTTTTCTTCAACTGTATCTGTTGTCATCAATCATTTTCATTAAGAGATAAGTTACTAATAGTTCAATTTCTTCCATTATAGACTCGTCTTTTCACTCATTTGCCATTATGATCCAGAGCCATCAATTTAATAGTAACTGTGACATTTATTTTCACTTCTTTTTTGTTTTCATTTCACTTGCATTTGTTTTCATAGTCCATCCAAGCAATGAAATTCATTTTGTGTTTATGGCTTTTATTTGAATACTTTCGTAAAACACAACTTAAACTTCACAATAATACTAATTTAAATTATATAAATTTAATAGATTTTGGTATTAGCACTTAATCAACATTAATTAATGTAAAACAATGATTTATTCTTGTAGTTTCTCACGCGTTTTTTATATTAATACTCTGTATTATTCATTTTCATCACATTCTTAAATATTTCTTTATTTTACTCTTGTGCCTTTAAAGCCTATTTATAGTATATGGTACGTTTATATGTCTAAGTATGTTTTGTAATACAGTTTGATAATAATAAAGTTTGACAGGAAAAAAGAATTTCACAATTTTTTAAAACTATTATGAGAAAAGCTTCTGAACAAAGATCATGGAGAGAATATGTATTCAATGGAACTATGCACAATTTCAATTCACGGCCCTCTTAATTAAAAACATTGGCTGTAAACTAATTTCTTAAAGAGTAATTAATTGTAATTACAAGTTGGTCATTTAAATCCACTATTTTAAATTTACATTAAAATAGAAACAAATTAATTGATCAAGAAAGCCATTTAGCATACTGTCACTCAATGTTACTTTGGAAATATGTTTATGGGGTAAATAGTAATTTTTTTTAAATTAATCATTTTTATTTATTATATTTTGGTAGTTGTAATGAGAAAGGAATAGGATGAGGGTATGTCCTTTTATGAAAAGTAGAAAAATTTAAGAACTTCAAACAATTTTAAAATAAAAAAAGAGCTTTAAAATTTGTTATTTCTAGAAGTACAAATTAAATATAATAGAAATACCTGTTCCTCCAGTGCTGTTTTAGCCATTTTCTCCATTTTTTTATTCATCGCATTGATCATGTCATTTAATTTGGCATCATTTTCATTTTTGACTGATGCTGCGTACTTTTTCAACTCTAACAGTTCCTTTTCCAAGTCATCGTATTCTTTGACCGATGACATGTTTTTGTTGCTTGCAATTTGACCGAATTGTGACAATTTCGCGTTGAGTTCATCCTGAAGTTTTTTTGCGGCCTGCATTTTGGCCTGCATCTCAGGTGAAAGATTATCATCACCATCTCGCTTAGCCATGTTGTGTGTTATTGAAGATTTGTCAAAGAGTAATATTGTCCTTGTTGCCTGAAGCACTTATTTACAGGTTAAGCGAGATCCAACTTATTTTGTTGCCTAAGGACTCCATTCCTCGATTGTAATAGGACAAGTGGCGTTTGGCTAAGCAAAACTGAGGAGCTGATTGTTCAGTACACATTAATGAACACTGCAATATATACCGGAAAACTGAAGTGAGGCTCTCCAACATTATCGGCACTTAGTATTGTTGATAATCCTGAAAATACAAGTTAGTAATTTACATTAACATTAAACAGCTATTACATATTTGTATCGAAGTATAAGTAATTTATTGAAAAAATATTTTTGTAAAATTTTATGTTCGGCATCAATGTTAGATGAAAAGTAAAGAAATAAAAAAGCATAATAGAACAGTAGATTTTGGCATTGGATGTTAATGACATTATGGAACACAACTGAAAATAGCAACAACATACCGAAAAATGACCGAGGATCAAAAGGCTTGCAAAATTATGTGTTCTAGCTAAAAATAACCAATAATAAGTATTGAGCTTATCGTAATTTCACTGTTTGAGTATCACATCACCTTGCCATTATGGTCTATTGGAAGGGATCATTGTAGTGAAGTTTTGTAAATTTTTTTGAATTTTAGCTGAATCCTGCTCATTCCTGTAAGAGTGAAAGATGGTGTGATTGAAAATACTAATTGCAATGTTTTTCTTTCATATGATTTTATTAACTTTTATATTTGCTCCAGCTGCACATTTTAAGAAGTCTTACTGGTTGTATGCTTTCTGCCTGAGTTAAATATTACTAATTTTTTTTCTAGAAATGTATATACAATTGGAATACACCAACATTTTATTTATTTTCAGCTTGAGAAATAAGATTGTTTTCTAACATTATAAAACCCTCCAATTTCAATTGCATTACAAATTCTACACATGTTAGAACCTACATTGTATTTAATACTTTTAAGCTATAGTTTTAACATTTTGAAAGAGGTGAGGTATGCTATGAAACTGTAACTTGATACTGGTTTTGTATGTCAGGAGACAATTTAGTATATTGCCAAAAGCAGAAATCAAAGACAATGGTGAGTTGACAGTTCACAGAAACATGTCTGACAGAAAAGAAAGATAAAAGGTGATCAGAGATGCTCAAGCTACCGGAATGTTTTTGTTATTAATTATACAACTATAATCAAAAATTTGTAGAGGCAATTTATCAAATAATATAACTGATTATTAAATCATACTCATAGAAATCTTGAGGAAAAAGCTGGTTGGGCTGACAAAAATATATCTTTCTATGAAAGTTAATTAAAGAAACAGCAAGGAACAATAACATCACCAAAACAAACAAAAGAAAAGAACAGGACATAACAGAAAAAATATTGTTGCAATTTCCATGAATACTCATTCGTATTATTGTCACAGTTTTGGTAAATAGCTTTCAGACAATTTCTGAAAACTAAAATGAACGCAACAAATTTTATCCCACTTTTTGATTTTTTAACTTTTATTAAATTAGTTTGAAAACCTAAATAAAAAATAGATTGTATTCCAATAAATTTATATTGGCAATTGTAGAAAACCTGTGAGTGGTCAGCAGTCCCTAGTCTAACTTCACACCGTTGATCGTACATGAGATTTTCTCTGAGCTGTTTTCTTTATTAATAATTTCACAATTTTTTTTGTTGCACTAATACTAATAATATAAGTTGACATGTACAGCATCCCCTCCATTGTGATGAAAATGTACACTGTGTCTTCATAAATTTTCCACCATCATGAAACAGATAAGTTCATTTTTTGTAGCTGTATAAGAATCTGACTTTCCTTTTAAAAAGTAATTAGTTGGAGCGATTTATCTTTTATTTTTCCTCACTGCGCCAACAAGTTTTGATCCTGTTAGATAAAGAGGGTTCTAAAAATAAACTAGAACATAACACAGGTACCATTTATTTAGAAAAAAAGCACAGCAAAATGACAGAAAAACTCATATTACGACCACTCATAGGTTAATAACACCTCTTACACTTTTAGCTAGTTTTTTCTCAATTGTTTTCCTGTATTTTTAGTGTTTTAATCCTTCTAATTTCTTTTCCACCTTTCTCCAGCCAAGTTATAACATAACAGTAACTGACTCTCTCTTTTTTTATCCTACCTCAGAGCTTTTTTTTCATAAAATAATACAAATAAGACATACGCAAAGACAAGATAAAAAAATAGTTTGGTTAGGATTCATCTTATCCCAAAATATAAGGGTCATATATTCCTCAGGGTAATTGTGGATAAGCCCTGCCATTCTTGCTAATAAATACACTCACTCATTCACTAACACATATCACATATATGACAGTACACAGATCTTTATGGAATGAAAATATTTATGGCCCTGAGATAATGCCTGTTGCCATATACTATGGCTGAACATAGGTCATTTGGGATATCATATTTTTTAATTTTCAGACTTAATACATTACAGTCTGTTATGTGCTCTACCATGATAATATCTCCTCACAATGGGCACCTGCGTGGCCTCACCCCCATTAGTGGAATCTACACAATATCATAAGAATGACCTTTTTTCCTTCAACAATCAGCCTTTGCAGGCCACAGTCCAATTGTCTTACAATTTTTATAATTTAGAAGTATTTTTGTCTATAGTATTCTCCATTCATTAGATGTTTTAATTTAAGAACAGAGGCTCGAAAAAATTAAAACCTTCATTTATAAAATGTACAATTCTTTACAAACAAAAACCCTGAATAACTGAATTGGACAAGGGAACATACTAAGCAGTTAATTAGGTAATAAAACTTAATATGTACAAACAAATTTTGAATCACATTTTATAATAAATAGTTGAAAGAAAATTTTTTTGGTAGAAAAGTTGGTTTCTATGGTATTACTGTTGTCATTACTTATTGCATAGTCAAATTAGTACAATGAAAAATTAACATTTAATTTACTTTATATAGTTGTATCCTTCACAGAATTATTATTTCAGAAATAAGATGACAACAAGTCGAACACAAACACGACCTTTTAAGGTAAAAATACCCTACCAATCTTGTTAAAAAACTACTTACATAACTTTGTAATACAACAATAAATTAACATAATAATAATAATAATTAATAACATAATACACAAATTTGTAATTCAAATAAATTCCTTATTTACTATATACACAATATTACTTTAACATACAAAATATAGGAATGTTTAACAGTATTGTTTTTTTCTTAAATATTTATTGTTTAATGACTTTATTCTTTCATTTTGTTTTAAAAAAATGTATTTTATGTTGGCTTATATTTAAGTCTAATTAGAGGTTTGAAAAACAATTTTATACTTCCTCAACATTAATTAGGACAAAACTGTTGGCAGAATGAATCCTGCCAAGTATTTGTGCGCACACTGCATATTTTAATAAAATTGACAAAAAAGAATGAGCATAAATAAAAATGCATATTAATTTTAGAAAAAATTGGCAAATTTATACATGGTATACTTTGAGGTTGGTTTGGTAAATAAAGCCAGTGTGAATTATTTCAGCAAAAAACTGCAGTGGGTTACGTCCTCAAAATAGAACAATTAAATCATGAAGGTTGCAATATTATGGAAGTTCAAGAAGGTTGTTGGATTTAAACAACTCATGCAATTTTAAATAAGTGCAGTTGCAGGATTTCAATGCTACTGGAAGAGCTTCCATTGCTTCATCAGTTCTGTCACCAAATAACTAAAAACATATGCATTGAAATAAAAAATTTAAAAAAATCTCCAACTTTCAGTTACCTTTCTTAATAATTCCTTCTTAGAAGGTAATGTCCAAAGACCAATACTTGCAGCTTGTCTAACAAAAAATCCATGGTGCTGTGCTAGAGTTTGATTGTAGGCTTCCGTACCAACTGAGCTTGTACTATCTTCATAATTGAGTTGGGAGACTTTTTCAAAAAATGTCCTTACAAAGTCTGGGAAAAAAGTGTGAAAAATATAAGTGTGAAAAATATAAATAATTTCATAATGATTAATTTGCACCTAAACCCCTTAGAAGCCTGAGTAACGTTCTACAGCCGCAAACGCCATTATTTAGTTGGTTTTCCCTGCGTTCATAAGCAATCATCTTTTGCAATGAGGAAAACGTTTCGGCATCTTTCTGGAGGTATTCTTGCAAAATATTTGATTTGCTCGAAATTTCTGTGGATACCGCATTAAACAATATTCCACCCATAAGATCACAGAATCTGTAACATTAAATTAAAAATCTTACACAAAAATAAAATAACTAGTTAAAAAGGTATTTTCTTTTCTTTTTATATAAAAGTTTAGCACAAATTAAAATATGAATCTGTGTGTGTAAAATCTAAACAGCCAAAAGCTGTGTAATATTTTTACTGTTCTAGGTGATGAGGGAATTTCAGGTAATGTACACCCTCACTAAAAAAGGGAATCCAACAGGTATATTTCCAGGGCATGCTCCAGTAAAATATGGCTTGAAAACAGGACTTAACAACAATGTCCAATGTAGATTATGCCTAGATTCACTAATTTCGTGGTCCGCTTGACCAATTAATATATTACAATTAATTAAGGTTTTTATTTGAGATGAAAAATGGCAAAAAGGAGGGAAAATTCAAAAGGTGCGGTTGTAATGGGAAGTTGGTGTCCGAGTGGATCGAGGTCACGATAGCTCAAGTGGTAGAGCAGCGGCGTATCAAGCCGAAGATCGTGGGTTCGAATCCCGCTCGTGCCATTGACTTTTTTTATCTCAACTAAAAACCTTAATTAATTGTAATTATGCCTAGAAGAGACTGAAATAGTTACCTTATATGACTGTCTTGCAATAGCTAGGAAAAAGAAAATTTAGGAAAGCCTTTCTTAAGCAATAAATCTTTCAGGAAAATAGTTACAAGTGCAAAAGAGTGGAAATCCCCATGACTCCAAAGATTGATTGATTGATTGATATCGCTTTATTTACATTATCTCTCAAGATTTGGTCTCGAGGACCACTCTTATATCTAAAGAGAAAAAGGGAGAAAGAGAAAGAGATAGAGAGAGTGAGAGAGAGAGAGAGAGAGAAAAGAGTGTATTGATCGATAGTACACAAGTGTTTTTATTGCTCTTGAAATCTCTACTTTTTTTGTTGTTCTTCCCAGGGATCGAAGGTTGTTACTGTGCCCCTTAACTTTTTTTAACAATTAAAACAACCCTGCCATTTAGTCTTACTGAGTCTATAGGTACTTTTGACCATACGCTATCCTTAAGATTCCTAATATTTTCTTTCAGGTCAGCCAGTAATGTAAAATTGTAGACATAATATCTGCAAGTATACAAGCCATACTCGCGTTCCTTTTAACAAATATATCAACTTTTTTATTCAACCTTTTATTCTCTAGTGTCCAAGCCCAGTAAGTACTTGGGCTAGTGTGGTATTATATCAAGAATATTTTTTCCCCCTATTTTTATTTTGCTGCAGTATGTTAATTATGCAACTCCTGTTCAAGGACAATATTATTATATTACATATTCTATAGTTTACAATATGTTTAATTAAAACATCTTACATCGTTAAATTCCAGTAAATTTCTTTTAAAAAAAATAACACAAAATATATAATAAATTCAAATAAAAAAAATAATTACTTGTTGAGCTCTTGGAAACCCAGGAGAAAAGGCTCAAGTTTAATATCTTTATCTGCTTCCATTGATGTCTCAAAACATTTGCTTAGGTACTTCAAATCAAAGTAATCTGAACTTGACATGTTGCTGTTTCCAAACCCGGTGTTGAATTACAAAATAATTTAAAAAAATAAATAAATAAAAACAAATCTGGCACTAAATGTGTGATTAAGGTTATTGGAAGTTGGAAACAGCCAACAACACAATGACAGCCGAAAGCAGGTCACATCTGATAACACTTGAATGCAGCAGACAGAAGTTGCTGTTTTCTACTTTAAACACCAGAGTCTTGCCAACAGCAATGGAAGGGGAATAAATAATACAAAAAATAATTAATTCAATAAAATTTTCTTCATTTTTTAAACTTTTCATTATTAAAAATATTTACCTTTGCTATTGTTTTGTCTGCATTCATTTATAATTACATTCTTTTTTTTTGCATATTGCCTTTTTTTAAATCTTTTGAGCTTTTCTTGATTTTAAATTGACATATTTTACAAAAAAGAATACTCCAGTTTAATGTTAATGGGAGAAAACAAGATGCTTCTTGAGTTTTGACAACCTCTTGCAATGCATAAAAAAATTACCAATGGCTTTAGGTTTTATACATGAATTTAGCCTTCTGTGACCGAAAGTAGGCCATTTGTTTCTGGAATTATTGCATAATAACTCTCATGACTAGAATCATAATAATCAATTTACAATCATACAAAACATTTTAATCGTCTAAACCACACAATTATATAAGACTTTTCTTATGTAGCTTTTTATTACATTTAATTTTTAGAACATAGTTTTTTTATTATTTGGAAATCGTGAGATGCAGTCTGGTTTATTTTACAAATACATAAGGATGTGGGAAAAAAATTATACTATGCTAGAAATTTTAGATTCAATCAATGTATTTGTACACAGAAAACGAACACTTTGAGTGCGTACAAAAACTTTGATTGAATCTAAAATTTCTAGAATTGTATAAATTCATCTTTTTCACATCCTATTGATTATTATGATTCTAGTCATGAGAATTATTATGCAATAATTCCAGAAAAAATTGGCCTACTTTTGATCACAGAAGGCTAAATTCATGTATAAAACCTAAAGCCATTGGTAATTTTTTTTATGCATTGCAAGAGATTGTCAAAACTCAAGAAGCATCTTGTTTTCTCCCATTAACATTAAACTGGAGTTTTCTTTTTTTTGCAAAATATGCCAATTTAAAAACAAGAAAAGCTCAAAAGACTTTTAAAAAGGCAATGTGCAAAAAAAGAATATAATTATAAATATTGGGCTGTCCGGAAAATAATGCAGGATTTTGGTATTAAACAAAAAAAAAGAAACTAGTTACTTTAAAGCAATGTTCTTTAATCAAAATAATTTCCCATACTCTCAATNAATGAGTAATCCTGTAAACGTAAACAGAATATTTTATATAGATTTTTTTTAATGAAAACTTAAAATCCTGCATTATTTTCCGGACAACCCAATAAATACAGACAAAATGTATTTGTTAAATGTAAACAATGTTTGTAAATCCCAGGCCCTCAAGATGATCTCAATAAAGATCGAAACATTGGCACAATAAAGAAAATGCTTTTCTGAAACCTACATCTCACCAGACTGCATCTCACGATTTCCGAATAATGATCTTGTTAGAGTTTAACTATTAAGTCAAATAAACAAAATGAATAATTAGCCCTCCTATCCTTAGCAAAAGAAAGAAAGAAGGGCAACGCAAATAAAGAAAACTAAAATTAAAATAACTAAAATGTTAAATATCTCAAAAACTATTGAGAAAAAAGCTTTATTGCGGCCCTTACCTGCTTTATAGTTATGCAACAAATATGTTTATTAGCTAAGTATTTGAAATTTACTTACCTTTTTGTTTTTCTATTAAACATACTAAACGTATGTTTACCATTTTAGTTGTGAAACTGAAGTAATTTTTGTTCAACGATTTAGTTCCTTTAATTCTTCTTTAAATTGAACTTTAGTTCTTGCCCACTTTCGTGGATCTTTTTTAAGCAGTAAAACTTTAAAAACTTCCTCATTTCTTACAGACCAGATCTGTAGAAAGCTATAAAGTCTGAAGATGTAACTGTTGCACTTTTCCCTAAGGTACTAGTTAATTTTACTCCCTTGGTTTTAAACAAGTGGGTAGAATTGTATATGTATGTATAATATGTATTTCTGAACTGCGTTGGTTTTCAATAAAAATAAATTAAAATATAAGAAAAAAAAAAACGTTAATTTTGATGATTTTTCAGAAATTGTGAGTTGCAGTCTGGTGTGATATAGGTTTCAGAAAAACATTTTCTTTATCGTGCAACGTTTCAAACTTTATTGAGATCATCTTCAGGGCCTGCAATTTACAAACATTGTTTACATTTAACAAATACATGTAGGATGTGGAAAAACGTGAATTTATACAATGCAAAAAAAAATTTTTTTTTAAATTCAATCAAAGTATTTCTACTCTCTCAAAGTGTTTGTTTTCTGTGTAAATTCACTTTTTTCACATCCTACATGTTTTTGTTAAATTTAAACAATGTAAATCCCAGGCCCTGAAGATGATCTCAATAAAGATTGAAGCGTTGGCACAATAAAGAGAATGTTTTTCTGACACCTACATCACACCAGACCACATCTCATGATTTTCGAATACATCAACTAACGGTCACTAATCACGACACATAGTTTTTTTAGTTATGTATTGTACAATAAAATGTTTTTTTTTATATTCTTACATTTTTTAAACATATTTTTATAAAGTAAAATATATTTACTTTAAAAATAATAAATATATTCTTTGATGGGATGAAAATTGGCTGATAGAAAAACTATTACTAGTAACACTGTAGTTGCAATAAAATAAAATATTATTTATTATATGGATTTTTCATCAATTTGAAACTAACCTTTTTTTAATTATCATTTTGTGTTAAAAAATCAGGGATGAGGTCAATTTGAAAGAAAGAAAAACACTCAGTCCTTCGTCATTGGGGGGGGGGGGGATACATGGGAACACAACTTTGAAACTTTATTAATAATTCACAAGCTTACAAAATATGTTTAAGCATCTACTTTCCATTTTGAAATTTATGGGTTCAAAAAAGTGAATTTCCAAGTGGATAGAGAAATGAGATCTGCAACCTGTCCTTAGAATGGAATTAAGTAATAGTTTCAAAGTTCTAATATAAAAGGCTGATATCAATTACTTATATATTTGTCCATTTTCCCAAACAGCTTATTACTGTGTAATCATGCATAAACGAATGTGATTTAACTGATTTTTTTCTTTCTTTAGGGTTCGCGACAGCAAAGGTTATATCAACCCTCGGGGTGCCGGTGTTTTTGAAAAACAGCCCATTTAAGTATGTAAGTATGTCGGGTTTAAACGCAGGGCTGCTGGATTCGAATCTGGGACCTTTACCTTACAGTGATGAGCGCCGTGTCAACGCCTAAACCGTTGCGGCCACCAACTCCCCCGGCACCAGAGCCTTGTCAACAGCAATGGAAGAGGAATAGATAATACAAAAAATAATTAAGTCAATAAAGTTTTCTTCATTTTTTAAGCTTTTCATTATCAAAAAGTTTACCTTTGCTATTGTTTTGTCTGTATTCATTTATAATTATATTTATGTATTTTGTACATTGCCTTTTTTAAAAGTCTATTTCCTTTTGAGCTTTTCTTGTTGTTAAATTGACATAGAATACTCCAGTTAAATGTAAATGGGATAAAACGAGATGCTACTTGAGTTTTGACAACCTCTTATAATGCATAAAAAATAATTTACCAACTATAATTTGGCAATAGGTCTCATACATGAATTTAGCCAGAAGTAGGTCAATTTTTTCTGGAATTATTGCATAATAACTCTCATGACTAGAATCAAAATAATCAATTTACAATCATAAAAAACATTTTAATTATGTAAACCACACAAATATATAAGAATTTTATTATATAGCTTTTTATTGCATTTAATTTTTATTACATGAAAATAGTTTTTCTATATATATTGTACAATAAATGTTTATATTCTTACATTTCTTTTAAAACAGATTTTTATAAAATATATTAGTATTTATTTTAAAAATTGTATTCTTTGATGGGCTAAAAATTGACTGATGGAAAAGCTATGATGTAGTAAAATTGTAGTTGCAATAAAATAAATGATTATTATATTTTTTATATGGATTTTTGATCAATTAGAAACTAACCTTTTTTTTATTATCATTTTGTCCTGATTAAAATGATAAATTAAGGAAGAAAACAGCCCTTCTTCAAGCATTGGGGGGAGGGGAATATATCTATCCCCTTTATCAGAACTTTGAAACTTGATTAACAATTCACAAGCTTACCAAATATGTTTAACATCTACTTTCCATCTTGAAATTTATGGATTCAAATTGCATTAATAGTGGAACGAGATCTATTTAGCTAACAGTTTCAAAAAACTAATATAAAAGGCTGATGTCAAATATATCTAAATATTTTTTATTTTCCCAAACAGTTTATTATTGTGTAACCATGCGTGAAAGAATGTGTAATAATTGAACTATATTGACAAAAAATAACATCTAGACCTTCAGTGGAGAGGATTTTGCGCTGGGAAAAGAATGCTGGTGCTTTGCCAAAGAAATTTCCCCCCAAAAAGCTATATCTGGCATTCTTTTTAAACCGATGGTAATCAAAGCTTATTAAAATTGATAACAATTAAATTACAGTTTTTCCGGTTTATGGTGAAACAAAATCGCTCATATATATCACTAGAGTGTTATCTACAGGATAGCTTAGCAGGAGCTTACAGCCAATTTTCTGCAACAGGAGATTTAAAAACTAATTAATTCTTATAATAAAAGTTTAGAATTGAGTCAGATTGCTGTTTTTGAAATACCAGTTTTATTTGCATCTTGAGAAGATTCAACAGATCTAGATTCTAAGATCTAAAACTTTGGTGACCATATAAAGTTTAAACTAAACTATTTCCATTCATAGAATTATATTTTCCTTGATTAACTTTTACATTTAGATCATGGAATTTACTTTTGTTTTATTTGTATCTTTTATTGTATAGCAAGAGACTATAAAAAGAGCAATTAATTTAGTAACTAACAATTTATTGTTTTATTATTCTAATGTTATGAAAGTTAAAATAAATTTAAGCTGTTTTATTATTTTACCATTTAATTTTAGAGAATTTTATTTACTTAAAGCCCTCTTTTCTATAGATACATTTTTCTTCTTCCAATTTTTACTTATCACAATTAATTACCAACTAATACAATTTCTAGATGCTGATAATGGGTTAAAAGAGTACATTTGTATCAGTTAACAAATTGTAGTGCAAATACTACACACTTGTCTTAAAAAGTAATTCCAGTCATATAGGAGCTTTTAAAAACCAACTATCTGTTGAGTGTCGCAGACACCACTTGACATCATCTTTTCATACTATTATCAATTAAATTTCATGGTTTAAGCAGAGATCCGAACCTAGAAAACAGTTAGTGCAGCCAAATATGAGTCGGATGACTTCAAATTTGCCATCTCGTCCCCCACCCCCTTAAGTCACCATTTATTTATACCTAAAAGAATAAATATGTTTAGAAAAATAATGCCCAAGATAACTCAAAGAAAAGAAATTCAACCCCGGACCTTTACCTTACAGTGATTAGCACTGTTTCAACGCTTAAACCGTTTTACTAAGACAAAACTTGAAAAAAGTTAAGTGAAATCTGATGTAAATATTTAGTAATTATAGGGGCTGTCGTGGCTGAGTGTTTAGGGAGTCTGACTCGTATTTGACACACTAGAGGGGTTCAAATCCCAGCAGAGCCTATGGCTTTCTTATTGATAATGATTTGAAAAATCTATTTACGTTTTAGTGGTCAATTGACCAAGTTACTCCCTTCAATTAATTATTCTTTCTATGTAAGGTCTTGGTTGAGATAAAAAAGTCAGTGCCACGAGCTGGATTCGAACCCATTATGTTTGGCTAAATGCGCCGCTACTCTACCACTTGAGCTGTCGTGACTTTGATCCACTCGGACACCAACTCTCCTTCTCAACCTATAAGAGTTCGAATTTTCCCTCGACAGGATCGAAGTCACAATAGCTCAAATGGTAGCGTAGCGGCGTATTTCGCCGAAGGTCGTGGGTTCGAATCCCACTCGTGACACTGACTTTTTTGTCTAACCAAGACCTTACATAGAAAGAATAATTAACTGAAAGAAGTACTTGGTCAATTGACCACTAAAACGTAAATAGATTAATACTGAATAAGTAAAAGAAGTATCACTTCACTAAACAGCACCTCCTGGCCACTTCATAAGTCGCTGAGAATCCATTCCTGATTACACATTTGAAAACGGCAAAAAGAGGGAAAATTCGAATGGTTGTAGGTTGAAATTTGAAAAATGTGTAAAGTGATTGGTTGTTCTATGACACCCAATGGGTAGTTGAACGTTAAGCCCTCCTGTAAAGCAGGAATTAATTACCTATTTAGTGATATTATCAATTAGTTAAAAAAATTTGTAACATTGTTATTAAGGAAAAGAACTGTGACGGAAAATTCACGTGGACCAATAGAGTGAAGGTTAGCCTAGCGACCACTTGTGGGTTAAGGACAGTTTTCCATTGCAGATTTTAAAAAAATGTATTTGAGAATGAATTTGAATAAAAAATCAAAATTGTACATAAGAAATAAGAATGGAAGATATTAGTTTTTGAAATAAAATAAAATAATGACCTTAAACTTTACTACATCCACATTATATTGAAATGTTGATGAATGTGCCTTACTGAAATCATACGAATTAATGAAATTAATGTTTAAACATATAATCATTAAAAATATTAATATATTAGTTATCCTTTGTTTTTTTTTTACCAATTTCACCCACAGCTTAACTAATTTTAAAAAATTCAAAGGGGAAAATGAATTTTCTTAAAGAAATTATAACAAGATCAAATTTTATTGCAGATAAATTTTAACAAATGCAAAATTGGAAATGCAATTTAACAACGAAACTACTAATTTACCAAAAAGTATTATTAACATCATTTTCAACAAATTATATATAAAAGGTTTTTTAATAATAAAATATATTACTTTACTTCATATATTGTATTTTAATGTCCTACTTAGTGGTAGCATTTAAACTGTGAAAGTATCGATTGTTTGTATTGGCACACAAAAAATACTTTTTTAAATATTTAGTTTTGCAAGTTTAAAACAAATGATTGAATCAGCACTAAGTAGTACTTAATTTACAATAGCATGTGACAACAACAACAACATTAACAATTACAAAATGTTTACTAAACATTCCACCTAGCAATGGGAACATTAGATAACATTGGCTTTTTTTAATATTTCATTACAAAGTGCAACCTGTCTAAAAGGGTTGTTGAGGTTCCGCATTTATGTTTTGCAACGTTTCTTTCATTCTATAATTGATGATGATTGTATTAAAAAAAAAGTAAAAAAGAAAAATATATAAAAAATAATTGTCTACTCTAAGCCTTATTATAATTAGTCAAACGTGAGACCAGTTTTTGACTATTTACGTGCCATTCGGTCAATTTTGCACTCTAAATAGGAAGAACATGTAACATTTTAATATTTTTATTGTAACAAGTATAATATTTGTACTTCACCTACAACTATGATGTATATTATATAACGTTATATATTTATTTGACAAGTAACGGTGTTGTACATTTTAAATATACTAAGTTAAAATATCTGATTTGTTTATATCAAAGCTTTAAAATGACTTAAATCAATGAATAAATGTAGAAAATAGAGTTAAGCGCATTGTTTTTAAACTTATTGCTAGCATTAAAAAAATATCTAATTCCCACAGTGACTAAGTGTATTTAAAAATAATAACTTAGTAAGCTACTACAATAATTTTTAGCTGGTAAAATTTAAAATTAGTGTTTGTTCAAAAAACTGTATAAAATTAGTTTCCACTGTTATTTGTATTGCCTGCTCAATAAATATTAATGTTTTTTTTTTTAACAATGTTATTGAACCTTAAATTATGAACATTAACATAGGTTCAAGATGTTAACTAACAGCATTAGTATTAAAAAGGTATAACAACTTTCATAAACTATCTTATATATACCTTTGTGCTCTGTGAACGCAAGGTAAATAATTGTCTTTCAACGTTTACAACATTTCTTTTTCATCGCGTTTCAATTATTGTTTACAACAACGGTACTCTCCAGTACACTCTTATTTTTCAACTATTATACCAACATCATTCATGCTTAATCATCATCATTTTTAAGCTAGTTAAAATCATTGACACAAGCAAATACTGATTGTTTTCACGAGAAGTCTATAATAACACCGTGCTGAAGGAATCCAATTTTTAGGTTGAGCTGGGATTGTAATACCGTATTCCATTTACCTGTAAAAGAAATAACAGGGACAGTTAAAATGACATTTAAATTAGGTTCAAGTGTATTCTTACAGTCATATCATGCTCTGTAATAAACGCAGGAATTTCAAGATGATTGGGGTGAATAACGGGATAAAGGTATTCCACCCCAGGAAGGCTATGAACTTTCTGTTTAATTGCTGGAGCCATAAATGTTGTAAACCACCATGTCATCATCTGCAAAATATATTCATTAAAAAAAAAAAATTATGTACACTCATTAAATTCACTATTTTTCGTGGTCAGCTTGACCAATTAATATCATTCAATTAATTAAGGTTTTAAGTTGAGATAAAAAAGTCAGTGTCACAAGCGGGATTCGAACCCACAACCTTTGGCTAGATACGCTGCTACTCTACCACTTGAGCTGTCGTGACTCAACACTCGGGCACTAACTTCCCACCTCAACCCCACCTTTTGAATTTTCCCTCCTTTTTGCCATTTTTCATAGATTGAAATAATGAATAGATTACATGACATTTGAAAAATGGTAAAAAAGGAGGGAAAATTTAAAAGGTGGGAAGTTAGTGCCTGAATGGATTGAAGTCACGATAGCTCAAGTGGTAGAGTAGTGGCGTATCTAGCCGAAGGTCGTGGGTTCAAATCCCGCTCGTGACACTGACTTTTTTATCTCAACTTAAAACCTTAATTAATTGAATGATATACACTCAAAGACAAAACTATATATTTTGGACACTCATATTTTGTCATTTATTTCAAACTATATGTGTTTTTATTGTTAAATTAATTACAATTCTTATCATGTAAGCTAAATTAAAAGAGTTGAGCTTTAATATTTTTTTTTGATTATGATGTTTCAAAGAAAAATTCACCAAAATACCGGAAAATCATTTAGTGTAGATTAAAATTTAACAATTTATTACCTAGTTTTGCTCTTAATAATACGTATTACCTCCTCTGCCTCATGGTGGGCCTTAAGGCTCCTAGACATTGAGCAAATAAATGGTCGGATTTTGTCTTTAATACGAGCAGTTTGGAGCTGTTCATTCAATGCTTGTTAGAGACAGCGAATGATATCTTAATTTATTAGGCTGACCAAATCATTTTGGTAATCCCTTCATCAACCAAGTAATGGGTGACAACTCGAGCTACATGCAGTCATGCATTAACATGAAGTTGTCCCCAATAAATGGAGCCAATGAGACCATAACTTAGTGCAATCAAAAATCATTCCACAACTTCCTAAATGTACCTTGTGCAGTCAAAAATCCATTCTGTATAATCATTCGATAACAGTGTGGCCATTGATTCTACCCCATACAATAAGTGTCTTTGAAAAGGCTGTGACTCACGCACGGTACATGAAGCAAGATGTTCTCTACGTCTTCTCCACACACGGTTCTCGTCATCTGTTTAGTTGAGTTCTGGCACTCATCTGCGAAGATCCCCCCGCATTGTTCAAGTGTATAAGCGAGATGCTGATTTGCGAAGTCTTTTTATTCAATGCTTCTCCAGTAGTAGAGAAAATAAGCTATTCTCATGAATTCTCTGATGACTGTTTTAGAGCTCACTCTTACATTACAAAATGTTTTGAGTTGACTACCTATCAAGGAAGTTGTTAAATGATGGTTCCTCAGTGCAGCAACAACAATAAAATGATTGTCTCTAGCAGTTGTATATCTCAGTTGACCAGTACCTTCTTTGATTGAGATTTCTGGTGGCCTTAAACCACAGTATACCATCGCTGTATGGCAAACCCAGTACTTGAGCTATGTAATGGATGCTAAAACCATCACTGGCCAAAGCATCTGTTTGGGCAAGATCTTCTTGACTTAAAACCATGCTTTTAAGAAAAGCCATAATAATTAATTTTTTACCAATATTTATTGATTCACCAAAGAAAAAAATTAAAAACCAATTAAATTGACTCTGGAAAGGATGAAAATGAACTTATTTTCTTTATTTTTAATCAAAAGGTGTAAACGGATCAGTAATATATAAATGTAAACAATAAGTTATTAGTGTTGGGTTTACATTTTAAGTCAACTATTAATGGGAAAATAAATAAATACAAGTGTCCAGTTTTTGTCTTCGAGTTCATTTTTTTTTTTTTTAAATGCAAAACTAGAGTTTAAAAAAATTATCAGTACTCACCTTTGTCCAAAATGTTGGATGTACGATATAGAACGCTTTCAAGTTTTTCTTGTATCTAAACAGAAAATTATTTAAGCTCATTACAAAATGTATAATATTGTTTTCTAAAACGAAAACATACTTGTAAGGAAGAATATTATAAACTTCTCTCAGCCAAGCAAATGATGGGTAATTAGCATTTGAAGTGTTCGTGTGAAAGTAAGCTATCACATAATCACTTTTAACAAGTGGATCCAGTAAATAAATAAGGTACAACAGGGCCTGTAAAAGAAAAATAACATATTTTTATCATGTTTTCTTGTTTTAGCTACTGCACAATGAAAATTAAATATAATTAGTTATGCAAATTTATCATTATACACCATGCAATAAGTTTGATTAAAAAACGAATTCATACTAGGTTGTTTGGGCAGAACTGATTCCAGTTTTGGTTTGAAAGATAAAAACAAGAAGGAACATAAAAAAAAAGTATTTTTACATTTTTAAACCACCTTTCTAGGGAAAACTAGATTTAATAAGGATAGACAATTATAAGTCAATTCATTGCTGGCAGATAATAAGCTCAAACACTTTGGCTCAATAGTATGGTCTTGAAGAAAAAAAGCAAATTCAGTTGTTACTGCCAAGGTTTTGACCTATTTTAAGGTCATCATGAAGACAAAACAATCTTAAATATGTCTACCGATTGTCATATTTAAGTTTTCTCTCTCAAATTTTCTTGAAGATCGACTCAGCCTAACTTTCCCTAGGAAATATATCACAGCCAACATTGTGACAGTCGTTGGAAATGTTACAACTGAGTTGGTCTGCTTACATAAAACAATGGACCATGCAACCACAGTGTGTACAATGGCAAATCCCATATGTACGGAAAATGTCAGATTTTAAAACTGAGTTAGGTTGCCCGAATGGATGAAAGGACACCTAAAAACCAAATATGATATGTCAGGCTCTTTCAACGGCACCAACCAGTGCCCGATTTAGCAGATTTAGATTTAGGATGCATTAGTGATTGTTGCATCGGCCCATTGTTTTATGTGTAACTTTGTCATGTACCATATTGAATGCTGGTTGTTTTATCTTGAAATTTTATGAAAGGAATGCTGAAGGGGGGGCTGAAACATCGTTTCTAAAATTCAACTACAACAGAATTCCTGGTTCCTCTGTTATTTCTGTTAATAACTCACTTAAATGCTTAACTGTTTAAAAAAAGTAATTAATACTGTATTCTGTTTTAACAATATGATAATGATCTAAATCTAATTAAACAATGAAGTTCACTAATTTACTTCACTTGAAAAAAAGAAATTGCTGAGGCTGTGCAAAAAATATTTAATAAAATTAGTGAGTTATAAACTTTTAGTGTTTTTAAGAACAAAAAAAAAAAAACGGATTTTTGCAATAGCTTTGGAGAATAATTTTCTAAATTTTTAATTTTAAATTTAAGACAAATTAAGTTAAGTAGGAATTCAATTAATTAAGGTTTTTTTTTAAAATTTATTTAATTATAAAGGCATTCAACCACGATGGGTCAAAACTGCCTTGATGATGAATTAATCGATGAGAGAAGAAAACAGAGAGCGATAAGCCAGGAGGGGCAGGGACATCAAGAGCGGGCACACCCCCACAGCGAACCGGACACCACAAGACCAGGCAGGAACCAGACACCCACACCAGCTCCTCTCCACACAAGACAGAGACAGTGGCAGACTTCTCAGAGGGCTGCGCATGGTGTGCCAGCATCCGCAGCCCTCCCAAGTTCCGGGGTTCAAACTCAACCCAGAGGCCAGCCCCACCCACCCCCAGCACTGGCCCCCTAGGAGCCGCGCCCGCACTCAAGGCCGCCCCGCCCTCCTACTTATTGTTCGTCACAATTTGTCGGTCAACCCAGTTTCAGTTAGGAACTCAAAAAGCTTTCTAACGTTAGCTGGGGCATCTTTCAAAATTTCGGTCACATGTTTCCAAGCTTAAGTTTGACCCGAAGGTCTTCGTACTTTCTGCATGTTGACAGAATATGCCTGATGGTGATTATTTCACCACAAGTTGTGCATCTTGGGGGAGGTTCTCTGGCCATTAGGTAACCATGTGTTAGTCTTGTGTGACCTATTCTGAGCCTGGCCAGCACGGTTTCTTCTTTTCAACATCTTTGCATTGCCGTGTCCCACTGTCTGACACTTTCCTTAATTTCTCTGAGTTTGTTAACCTCGATTTTGTCAGCCTCTGCTGGGTCCCAGGACACATGGGAGTAGAAGGTAATGAGGAAGCGGACACCCTGGCAAGAAAAGGGGCTGCCACACCGCTAATAGGACCTGAACCCTTCTGTGGAATAGGAACACACACTATCAACGAATACCTCAGACAGAAGGATAAAAAGAGAATGAGCGAACTTTGGAACTCACTTATTGGACACAGACAATCCAAGAATTTTCTAACCAACTTTGGCAAGAAAGAAATCACAGAATGTGTCAAAGGAAGCAGGAACAGACTGCGAATCCTAACAGGATTCCTGACAGGACACTGTAGATTAAATGGACATTTAAAGAAAATTGGAATAACCCAAGATGGCACATGTAGATTCTGCAAAGAAGCAGAAGAGACACCAACACACTTACTAACAAACTGCGGAGCTACACTAGCCCGCAGGAGGAAGTGTTTTGGGATGTACAATGTGACCATAAAAGAACTACAACCACTGAAACCGGGCCTATTAATCAATTTCTTGATGAAATAGGACTCACCGATGTGCTTTAAGCAGAGCACAGGGGATACAATAGCTCTTAAAGGGCGCAGTATACCATACCCTGAATTATTACATCTATCTATCTAACCTCGATTTTTTGCCATTCCGATTGCCAGGGGTTCCAAATTTTTCCTTTAAGAAACACAGCAAAGTCTTCACATGGCACTTCCGGTAAATACCATTCGATGCAGCACATTTCGCTGCTTGGTCAGCCTCCTCGTTGCCTTTTATACCACAGTGACCTGGGACCCACAAAAAACTAACTGCTGTACTCGTACTATTTTTTATAGCAAGTAAAATCTCTTGGATTCTTGGATTTATGGAAAATTTGTTTTTGATGGTTAATAGAGCAGAAAGGGAATCAGTGCAGACAACTAGAGCTGTGTGGTTCGAGTTTAGGATGTTAATGCATTTATTGATCGCAATTAATTCGACAGTGCAGTTATTACATATCTGAGAAAGAGAGAACATCATTTTTCTATCCTGATAAACAAATGCTGCTCCGACACCACTTGGGTTACTGGAACTGTCCGTAAATGCGAAAGTTGCATTTGGGATTGTACTTTTTATTCTTAAAAAATTTTTTTTATAAATGTATGAGGGAGTATTTTCTTTAGGAAATCTTGTTAGATTAAAGTTTATATTTGGGGTAGGCATGAGCCACGGCGGAATCGGGGCGACATGTTTCTTTTGTATCTTGGGAATTGATAAGTCTGTGGTGTTTAGGAACTCAAAGACTCAAAAGGCAAAGTGACATTTATATGAGTTATTTGTATTCACGGTTTCTGAGGGAATGGGTCGTAGCGGAGGGAAAAGCTCCCGTAGTGGATGAAAAGGTGTAGATAATATTGTTGCAAGGTATTTTAGTTCGAGTAATTTTCTTCTATAGTGTAGAGGGAGTTCACCTGCTTCTTGAGCTATCGTGACATCGTGTGAGCACAAGTGGTAGAGTAGCAGTGTATCAAGCTGAAGGTCGTGGGTTCGAATCCTGCTCGTGACATTGACTTTTTTATCTCAACTTAAAACCTTAATTAATTGAATGTTATTAATTGGCCAAGCGGACCACAAAAAATAGTGAAGTTAAGTAGGAATATGCATTAAAATATCATTTCATAAATCAGTTATTTTATATATTTTTAATTTTTAAATTATTTATTTTTTATATGTATTTTTTAACAGTTTATTATAATATAAAAAAACTCATTATTAAATTAGTCAACAAGGTTTTGTATTAGCAATTTTTGTAATAGCTTGGGGAATAATTTTTTAATTTTAAATTTAAGACAAATTAAGTTAAGTAGAAAGATGCATTAAAATATCATTTTATATATTTTTTACTTTTAAATTATTTATTTTTATGTGTATTTTTTAACAGTTTATTATATTATAATATAAAAAAACTCATTATTAAATTAGTCAACAAGGTTTTTGTATTAGCAATTTTTGTAATACCTTTGGGGAATAATTTTCTAAATTTTTAATTTTAAATTTAAGACAAATTAAGTTAAGTAGAAAGATGCATTAAAATATCATTTTATATATATTTTTATTTTTAAATTATTTATTTTTTATATGTATTTTTTAAAAGTTTATTATATTACAATATAATAAAAAACTCATTATTAAATTAGTCACCAAGGTTTTTGTATTAGCAATTTTTGTAATACCTTTGGGGAATAATTTTCTAAATTTTTAATTTTAAATTTAAGACAAATTAAGTTAAGTAGGATGATACATTAAAATATCATTTCTTAAATACCAAGGTGTTTAGTTTGGAAATTGTAAACCCACATATAATGTTAAATTTATTAGTCTGATCAAAATTTGACATCTAAACAAACAGATTGATATTTTTTATTTAAAAAAGTTTATCTTTTGAATCTAAACGATTAAGAAGATAAATTAACTATATATTATTAATTATTAATCATCTAAACGATATTAGAACGTCAAAGACTAGTTGAATTTATTACACAGATCTGTACTTGATGGTAGGCGGTTGCCATGTTATGCATAATACAGTACATATTACACTAGGTTCGCTCAAGTAGTATATTATTATAGTATTTTCTTTATATGTGGATAAACAAAATGGTAAAAATAGATATACTGACCTTGTCTAAATCGATATCCTTGAACTTGAACCATTTGCCGACGAAAACTACGACCGGCCTACCGAATCGATCGACTCCACTTTGGTAGAGACAACCGATGCCGGATACTTCTGTCAGGTCTTCAGTCTTCGCGCGTCTCAAGAGTTGATCGTATCTGAAACAAATTCGTAAATGAATTGAAAGTTTAAAAAAAAATTACACGGTTAAAGCCAATCTGTGAAGAGTCAAGGGAAAGATTGTAAATGACGTGTATAAAAATTGAGCGTAGGCGGCATAGTATGTGCGTCTATTCAGAAAAGTTTCATTATTAATAGAATTTGTTTTTTTTTTTGCAATTTATAAAAGGGGGTTGCGCTGTATTAATAGAACATTCCTTAAAGATAAGTATTTTCGAACGGTCGAAACCTGAGTAAACAGGAAGCACGTATAAAATTAAAGTAAAAAAAGGAAATAGAATAGAAAATTAAGGGTTTTTCTCATGTTGAGGAAGTGAGTCACAATAATTTTCCAGGATTAAATTAGTTTAAATAAATATTTCAACATTAAAACGTGTCGGCTGTTTAAACTTACATTTTAATATATTACATTATTTAACTATATGTTTATATTTTTTATGCAGTAGTTTTTGTTAAATAATATTTTGAAACTATTTTAATGCTGAATGTTTGAAGCAGCCTTGACACGAATCACATCAACAGTGTTTAATCGAGACAAATAAAGATCGTTTATACATAAGGATTTCCTTTTTTTCGTCTTAAGCAACAGAATATATAATTACCTCGATTCTTCTTCAACTACAGGTACGTTCGTTTGACTGATAACTTCCATAGGATTAGAAAGACACGAAAAAGCGAGGATGAAAGCTAAACGTTACGAAGCGACTATTACAACAATCTTACGCAACAGTCAAGAACTGGAACAATGCAAGAAACATTTCGCCCCCCCGGGTTGAAAATTAGCGCAATTACGCAAGAAAGTGGAGGAAAAAAATGAGAGTTTAATCCAAGTGAAACTAGCTGCCTGCTAACTAACAACTGAGCAGATCAACGAGATACTAACTTCAAGGGAAACATCTACGGAAAAGAGGGGAGCGATGTGTGTGTGAGTGTAAATTTAAAGCAGCGCGATATTTTGCGTTTGCTTTTACCAAATTCTTAGCGTAGTATCAATAATAAATACTAAATAAATTATTTTACCGAGAAGAGTATAGAACGTGCTAAAAGTTATCAAAATACAAAAAAAATTAAAAATTTATTTAAAAAACCTAAAAAAAAAAAAAAACGACAGAAAATTTGAGTTTAATTAAGTTCTTTAAAGTTTATCTATGGCCCTGGAAAAAAATTTTTTTCTGAAAATTTTCTACTGGACAGAAATCACATGTTTGCAACATCACAATATTACAATAAAGAGGTTTTGAATGCTTGCAATACTCATAATAATATTCAGCATAATTTGTATTATTATTTTTTAAAACTGAAAGTTTATCAATCAAACCATAAAATGACAAAAAATTAACTCTTAATTTTCTTAACAATTTACTTTCACTATCAATATACAATGTAAATCGCCAAATTTCCACAAAAGTGTTTTTTCGCTCGTTTATCTTGCTCAGTTGCTTTTTTCTATCTTTAAAATAAGATTTTATTTTATGGTATAATATCAAAATAATATTAATTTCTTTTAATAATCAAAATTTAAAATAATAAAAACAGCCGAATATTATTTTAGTGGAAAAACTTAAATATTTGTTAATTATTTTGGTTCCCTAATATAGCATTTATATTTAAATAGTCCACTTGAAAAATAAACATATTAGAAGGTTAAACTATTATTAATTAATTCATTTTTATGAAAATATTCTTAGCCTAAGTCGCTAGCGAACAATGAAGTTCTTTCTGGTAGATTTTATGTTTAAGGGATAAAAATTATCCAGCAACACTTGCCAATAAACCATTAAAAAACCAATACGGGTTTACGAAAAATAACAAATCCCAACTGATTGTCTATAAAAGCATAACGCAAACGGGAAAGTCAGCGGAAGGTGGTGTAAAATTCAGATAAAGAAGACCAGATTTTTGCCAAAAAATTGAACTAAGTTGAACTTTATATTCAAGTCGATTTTGGACTCTAAGACCTCTTTCAAAGCAGTTAAATGTCAAGGGCGGTGGTCACCCACGACGACTTCATCCAGTCATATCAACCGATTTTTATTTATAAAAAGCAAAATGTTCCAATTTTTTAAGAAAAAAAAGATCGTTACAATCAACCAATATGAAAACAGTCAGCATTTATTAAACATTTTAATTAATTTGCTTGAGAAATTTAAAATTTAAAACGCATGTATATGATGTATCAGTTTCGAAATATTGACAAATCGTTATCAGCTTACCTTTCCTGGGTGTGAAATTCTTTGGAGATGACCGGATACGCAGAAGACACCTGCCTCTCGCCGAGCAACCTCTGCTGATCCAAATCACCTTGCATGTGGGTGAACGAAGTGTCAGTCATGGCATCAAAATGACTAGAAAGGTCTATCACATAACTGTCATCTTCTGAAACGGAAGCTTTATTTTAGAACACAAGTGAATATTCGAGATGAGTCAAACATACACAAAACAAGGAAGAAAACAAAACAATTAATTTCTAACAGGGTAAATGCTGGCGTATGTTATGGACTGATAAAGATTTTCTTTCTTCAATTAAAAAAGCCCTATAAATTATTTTTTACAAGGGGGCAAACCAAATTGATGACCCATAACTCATATAAACAATCTGACGATTATCAACCCAAAGATTTAACAAAAGTCTTGAACATATAAGGAATTTTTAACATTTCAGAAAGCAAGAATTCAAAGACAATAGACAAAATTTGAATAAAATGGCCGAAATCAGTTGATAAATCAAAGATGTCCTCATTCGTTTATATGTAGGTGAAAAAAAATGATCTGCCATATATTAAAAAAGGCAATTGCACTTTTACTTCTTATATGCTCACGCTTTCCTAAATTTACGATAAGTAAAAAAAAATTTTAAAATAATTTTTATCGCTAAAAGGTCTATATATTTAAGCGACATCCTATAAAATAGAACCTGTACTTCTGACTAACGAACATTAAACTAAAGTATGAGACATATTTTCATTGGCACGGGAGTTACATAAGGCACACTTGTCTTTTTTCTTAAAAAATGGCTGAATTTAAAGGAACAACGATGGTCGTAGTGTGATAATCCGGGTTCTAGTGTCAAAATTAAATAAAGATGTGTAGCATTTAGTGAGCATTAATTAATGATTATTTGGAGGTCGTGAGAAGCAGTCTGGTGTGATGTAGGTTCAGAAAAACATCTTTTTTATTGTGTCAACGTTTCGATCTTTATTAAGACCATCTTCAGGGCCTGGGATTTACTAACATGACACAAAGTTATGAATACAAATTGATATACACAACATAGAAATTTTAAGTTTAATCAAAGAATTTGCACATATCACTCGAAGTGTGTGTTTTCTGTGTAGATGAGTGACTGTTGTGTGTCCTGTTGAAAGTGTTTGTGAGATATTAATGTTTTTTGATTATATATGTTTGCTTTTTAGGAAGAAGGGATAAAAATTCACTTTTCTATGAGGGGTCGGCTTCTTAGAGGTGAAAGGGACGGACAATGGAAAAAAGGGGTAATAGTTTGTCGTTAGGCCTGGTTAGCCTTTCAGGATTATTAACGAAAGGAGAGAAAATTGTTGAAGACTATGTAGAATTGTTTGATGTGTGGAATGTAATGATTGTTATATATGTTTTATGTGACATATACCCAAAATACTCACTTTGAGTGAGTACAATACTTTGATTAAACCTAAGATTTCTATGTTGTGTGCTTCATTGTATAAATTCAATATTCATATTTTGTATGTATATGTATAATTTAAGCAATATTCATAAATCCCAGGCCCTGAAGATGATCTCAGTAAAGATCGAAACGTTGGCATGATAAAGAAAATGTTTTTCTGAAACCTACATCACACCAGACCGCATCTCACGATTTCTGAATAATTATTAGGTAATGTACTTAAAATAATAAAATATTATTTTTCCCTGAAAAACTATTTTAGTATTGAACAAGGAAATGTTTGAAAAAAAAATCAAAATAAGTGTGGAAATACTACAACGAACACGAAAAATACTTACCAGCCATTCTCAAGCATTAGTCAAAAAAGCAATTTGCTTAACGCGCATGTATTTAAAAAAAAATTACAACTTTCTAATAAAAATGTAACAAAGCAAACATCTTTTCTTCAAAATACTCAAAAACATTGATTAAAAATCGTTTTATTAACCCTCTTCCGATGTCCTTTAAGTTGTTGACAATTCGGCACCATCCATGGATCATGTGCGACCCATAGTATTAATAATGCAATCTTCGTTTAAAAAATTGCTTCATTCGGATTCAGAATAAATAAAAAGATGCTTTTAGGCATAAACATATAATTTATAATTGATGCAATGTTTAAAAATCTCATTTTTTTGTAAGGAAGCAGTCTTGCGATCCACTTGAATACACACAATCTTACTCAGCCTTATAAATAAATAAAATGTAATTATCTTGGATAATATTTGAAGGAATAACACCAGCAGAAATCTTACACAAAACTGTTATCAATTTCCGAAGTCTTGAACCAATAGAATTAAATTTTGAATACAAACAAAATTATGATCAAGAAAAATCAGTCTTATTGAAGGGCCACGTGAGGTGGAACAACTCTTCTGTTGACAGTCCTGAACTTGCCAGAACTACAGCCATGAACAACAAACCAAGTCTCTAGTAGACCAGTAGGACCAAAGTGTGACTGTTTGGACGTGAACTTTTGATGATTTCTTTACAAGCCCTGTGGCTCTCCCTTTAGGTTCAGGCAGATCAAGATAAAGGCATCACAAGATAAAAAAGTAAGAACTTCTATACTCGACCAAAAGGTAAACAATTTTGTTACACAAGTGTGTCATTCACGACCCATAATAAAACATCACAAAAAATAGCATAATAATTTTGAGTATGCGTTGGAAAACTTAACTGTTAGCTTTGGCGGCTTCTGGACAACTGGCTGTAAGGGTAATAGGGCCCTTTCCCTCAACCAAAATAGGGGCTGTGGGTCACATACGACCCGGTCGGAGTCGGACGAGGGTTAAACAGCAGTTGTGGCTTAGACGTGAAGCAAGCCTTCCTACGGAATGCACTAGGCACTGCTCTGTTAGGAAAGAGAGTTTTATTACCTTTTATCTACTACCATATCCTAAAACTTAACCGACCGTTACTTTCAAGACATCAGTGGCTCCTCTCTATCATATATCTTAGGACGGATCCATCATCAATAGACATTCCTACTCTTTCTGAAAATCCTTATCACCTACGATAGATGACACGGCCTTTGCTCTCATAAATAAATATCCCGTCATCTCAGAAACGAAAGAGCCAAAGAAAATCCATTTGGAAAGAGAATGAGACCAATGTTTCAAATTTTCGTTTGAATCGACATGCCTAAAAAACTGTTATTTTCCTTACATTTAAAATTCTGTGTATATATTTCCCATCTCAATGGAAATTTTCCGGCGTCCGAATGATTTCAAAGCCTAAAAACCTCATAACTTTCTTTTACCCTTCGTCTATTGCCAATTATGGGGCAAATCATAGAAAAACTAATAAAGCTCATTCTTCCCATCGTTCGTTCCCGCAACTTTATTCATGACCACCAGTTGGGGTTCAGGCGTTTTCATTTCACTATGCGAAGTTGCCATCTCGGTGTAGGCATCATCGCTACCTCTCTTGTGAGAAACGAGCGTTGCTCCGGTGAATTCATAGATGAGAAGCAAGCCTTCGGTCCAGCATGTCACTCGGAGCTGCACTGGAAGCTTAAGAGAGTTCTACCTTTTACCTACAACCTGATCCTAAAATCGTACTCGACTGATACAACCCAGCCATCTATGATAGCTCTCTATCCTGAAGTATCATTGGACGTAATATATAACACTGATCATACAACATAATCCCACCAGCTAATGTAGTCCTACCTTGGATAAATGACTCAAAAGACAAGATTTCAACACAAACTTCAGACTTCTTCAAAGACTGATGGACAAACAATCAAAACTGACTCTGAAAATCATTTATATATTCCCGGACTTGAACTTTGGGGAACATCTGAAACATCGTCAAAGCTTCTTTCCAACCAAATTGCTATTCACAACGACTTTAACATTCAATATGTCTGAAGTAGCAAAAATACACTTACAAGAAGTTTCATAAACGATTGTACTGATAGACTAATCCTTCTGTCAGAAATTTATCATCCCGCACCCTTCCAGATAATCCTCCCCGATGATGTGTCTGTCACTAGACTCGCGACTTACTACTTTTGAGTAGTTCCTCGTTTGTATTTATTTTATTCCCAAAGACTAATAAGAAAAATTAATGATCTGATTAGTGGTTCACAGTGTTGGTGCTCATAATTGTACAAAATTCTAAAAAAAATTACGAAAGAAAAAGTAAGAGAGAACGAAAAGAAGAAAATGACAAAAAGTAAATTTGTCCATTTAAGTTGACAAAATATTACACCACCAAATTATTTCATTTCTAAAAAAAAAAGATGAAAATTTTTCAAAATTGAAAATAATTTATGAAAGAAGAAAAAAGGTAAATTTCCACGTTTAATTTGGCATGTTAGATCACCACATTATTCCCTTTCCAATGAAACAACAGCAACACAAATCTTTCAAAATTGAAAATAATTCATGAAAGAAGAAGAAAAAAAGGATAAATCTCCGCATTTAATTTAACCAACTGTTAGACTATTATATTATTCCATTTCTACTCAAAAAGCGACAAAATCTTTCAAAATTGAAAATAATTCATGAAAGAAGAAGAAGAAAAAAAAGATAAATTTCCGCATTTAATTTAACCAATTTTTAGACTACTACATTATTCCATTTCTACTCAAAGAAAAGCGACAAAAACTTTCAAAATTGAAAATAATTTATGAAAGAAATAGAACATAAATAAGAACTCTCTCACGACACGCAAGAATGGCACAATTACACAGAAGACAAACACTGAGCCCTGAAGATGATCTCAATAAAGATCGAAACGTTGGCACGATAAAGAAAATGTTTTTCTGAAACCTACATCACACCAGACCACGTCTCACGATTTCTGAATAATTGTCGATTAACGGTCACTAATCACTACACACAGAAATAAGAAAAGTAGAAAATGAAAAAGCTAAATGTCCACGTTTATTTTGACATGTCAGTTCGCCATATTATTTCATTTCTACGCAAAGAAAAACAACAGAAACCTTTACGAATTAAAAATAATTTATGAAAGAAAAAGGACGGCAGAAAGAAAATAAGAAAATTAAAAAAGTGTCAATTTACACATTTAATTTGATCACATCTTATTCCACAACATTTATTCCATTTCTGCGGAAAAAACAAAAAAAAATCTTTCAAAATTGAAAATTATTTATGAAAGACAAAAAGGCAAATTTCCATATTTAATTTGACAACATAATGTATTAGATCACCACACTATGCCATTTCTATACTAAGTTATACGTTTACAACTTGATACAGCAAATAACCTTTTTTTAATAATTAAAAAAACACTATTAAAATTAAACATAAAGTATATAATGAATATATAATATAAAAATAAAAAATAAGACAAGTAATATTATATAATAGTATAATAAGAAAGTTTATCCTTAATATATTTTTATAATTATAACAAATAATATTAAAACGAATTTATACTCAAAGAAAAACAAAAGAAGACAATATTCAAAAGTGCAATTATATTTTTTTAAATGTTACTTTCAAGTCATGGAAAATTGCAGCCCATTATTATCTGCAATGTAATAATATAGCAACAGATTACATTATACACATATATGTTTTTCTTTTCGTTTTTGATAAATGTAAATAAAACACGCATTAAAAGCTGAACCCTTCCACAATAGAATTTAGTCCACTCACTTGGCTGATTTCCAGATATGGTAAACGTCGAACACGATCTTTGGACTGAAATAAACTGTAAACACCGGCCATAAACAACGTGTTGGACTTAAAAACAGTTCCCAAGTTCAATAACTCCGTTGCTATATCACTGTTCAGAAAAGATAAGGTGGCGTGGTTTTGTACAAAGACGAGATTATGTATGACTCAGGATGAAGTTATGTAAGTACACAGGATATTGTTGTTTCATTAAATGTTTTAACACTTTCTGGCCGGCCTTCATGGAAATGGTTTTCGTAATATTTTCAAATTAAAACGATCCAACTATCATGAAAAATGATAAACAGGCGAATTTTATATACTTAAAATAAAATACAGTTTCGCTATTTGCATAATTCACTAGACAATGGTCAAAACAGTCATTACATAACTCCTGGCCTTGTGCTCATTAAAAGTCTTATAAATATTTTAATGATGAATTTTCTGGGGCGTCGGTGGCCGCAACCGACATCGCGCTCATCACTGTAAGGTAATCCTGCCCAGCGTCCCTGCATTCGGAACTTGATATACTTACAAATTGGCTTTTTTTTTTCAAAATCACCGGCACCCCGATATGACCCGAATATGGCCTCTGTTGTTGCGCACGTTCATAAAAAAATAATAATGACTTCATATAACTATTTCTTATTTTATATATAAAATTGCCATGTCTATTTTGTTTAAATAATCTTACTATGTTTGGAAAAAAAGTTCTTTTTTTTTAAATTTAATAACTTCTTTGATGTAAGGAATGAAAAATAATATTTTTACGTGCTATGACTCATAAAATGATTAAAGCAGCTTAATGGTATCACGAAATTTTAGAGTTTAACATTCCATTCTTGGCCCTTGATTAAAAGAAGACATGTATTTTGTTGTTTATTTCAGACCATTTTTATGTATTTTACTATTATTTTAATGTAAAATAAATTAAATGAAATAAGGAATTCACGAGTTTTATTTTTAAAAAATTTAATTATGGCGGTTTGAAAGAAAATTCACCAAAACAACGGAAAATCATGTTATGATATAATAAACTGTTAGTTAAAGTTTAATCTATTCCTAATTCCAATAACAGCATAACTATATCATTTTTAAAGAAAAGTGTGAATTTCTGATCTCGTATAATTTGGTTTACATTAAAAATAAATATGTTGTAATTAATATATCAATATAAATACTTCGAAATAAACAACAAAATACGAGTTTTTTTTTGTTGTTGAGTGTATTATAAACCAAAAAATGGAGATTTATCATTTCTACAAAAAAATATAGGCTTTGTAACATAGGGATCAATTCTTGTTAATTGTTAATTAAATTTTAATCAATCACTAAATGATTTTACGGTGTTTTGGTGCATTTTCTTTCATGCAGCATAATTAAATAATTTTTAAATAAAATTGCGAATTTCTGATCTCGTTTAATTTGGTTTACATCAAAATAAGTATGTTGTACCGATAAAAATACTTCGACATAACTAACTTAATACGAGTGTCCAGTTTTTTGTCTTTGAGTGTATTATAAACCAAAAAAACCATAGATTGTGTAACTTTGGGATCAATTCTTGTTTTCAAGACAATTGATCAATTGTTAGTTAAATTTTAATGTATCATTAAATGATTTTCCGGTGTTTTGGCGAAATTTCTTTCAAACCATATAATTAAATAATTTTTATTGAAACTCGTGAAGTTCTGATTTCGTTTAATTTGGTCTACATTAAAATAAGTATATTGTAATTAATATAACGGCAAATATATACAGTTTGAAATAAACAACAAAATACGAGTGTCCTGTTTTTTCTGTCTCTGAGTGTATTGTAAACCACAAAAACATAGGTTGTGTAACTTTGGAATGATTATTGTTTTCAAGATATGTTGACTTTTCTTGAGAGCGAGCCCCATCAGGAGAGGAAAAGATCGAACCAAAACAAAATGTATTTACCTGTCGCCGCTTCTTTCCCATTGGACGGCCAAAAATGATGGCTTTTTCTCATATTGTCAAATGAACTCGGATTTGAGGCAATCCACTGTTCGGAACAAAACCGCCTTTGACATTTCGAACGGTTGGCGATCGTCTGGGAGCCTATTTACCGAATGGGATCCATCGCAGATAAACGCCGTTATTAAATAACTGAAAAGGGGATTTGACTATTTCTAAGGATTCCTGGCCGACTCGTAAAAGACTAAAGAACACGACGAAAGGGCTCCGGACAGATGAAATTTAACCGAGTTTAGTGCAAATTCGATTCGACACAAATAGACACCCCAAACGTTTGGACGTTTGACAAATCTTTTGATAAATCGGCTACCGCCACACAAATTTTAAAAAATAATGACTAAAAAAAACTAAGTTTAGTTTTAAATGTCAGAAAGGTATCATCAAAGCAATAAAGGAATTTAAGGGTAAAATTTTAAACTACAAATAAAACAAAAGGTGTATCTTTATATATTCAATTTTTAAATGAGAATTCAGTTATTTTTATATTTTTAATGAGCAGCCTTAACGTTCTATTTTTTCCGATACCTTCCATTAAGATTTTATTTATTTATAATATATTTCTTTAAATTTCTAAATGAAAGAGGTAAAGGGTCGTTTCCTCCATTTTATTCATTTAAAATTTTAAGCTGAAATGTGGCCTTTGGAACTGAGAAATTTGATCGCGTTCTAAGCGTAGTTTTACGTTATGGTCAATTATAATAATAAATATTTATTTCATCATAATGGAAAACAAAAGAAAATACAGCTTTTGGATTCCATGCCTACTAATTAAAACAAAACGCCTAATTATAAAAGTAATTTGTTATTCTTTCGATAAGTATAAATACTTGTGCCGGTTAGCAGGAGTTGTAAAATTAACAATATCTTTTTATTACAATAAAACAAGAAAAAATAATATTAATTTACAAAAAAAGACTAGGAAACTTAATTTCTTGAGGCAAGAATGTATGAATGTATAATTTTTTGTAACTGACTAAAGTTCTGAAATTAATTTATATTTGTGGTGTTTAATGACCGTTAGTTAATGATTATTTGGAGATCGTGAGATGCGGTCTGGTGTGATGTAGGTTTTAGAAAAACATTTTTTTTTATCGTATTTGTATAATTTAAACAATGTTTATAAATCCCGGCCCTGAAGATGATCTCACTAAAGATCGGAACGTTAGCACGATAAAGAAAATATTTTTTAAATCCTACGTCACACCTGACCGCATCTCACGATCTCCAAATAATCATTAATTTATATATTGATGTACCCAGTTATACGAAAAATGATAGTATTTAGTTATGTATTATAGTTATTTTTGGTTAATCATGGCAATAATTTAATATTTTGTGACATATATTTAAGGATTTATGAAATAATTTATATCGAAACATTAAAATTTTAAAAATAATTTTGTTAAATTGGGAACTTTAAATTCCTTGTACAGTAACTTTGTGTGGTATATTCTTGGTTTAATTAAAATTATTTTTATGAGAGAATTTGAGTAGTCAATAAGTATGACTAAAAGGAATGAGAAACGCAAATAAAGCAATCGCGGGCCTTTTTAAGCAATCAAAAGCTAAAAAGGATTCAAGAAAGTCAAAACTATTTATTAATGCTACAATCAATAATTATCATTAACGAGAAAAATGAGAAAAGTCAGGCGTTTTCAATCATAAAATTCAGTGATTCATACTGAAAATTTGTCTCACTATTTGAGATTTTTCAGGAGTGTCATATAACAGAGATTTTACGTGTTACTTGAGTATTCTAATAAATTTTCGTTGTGAAATGGTTACATAGATAAAATTAAGACAACTAAAATACAAAATGGAAGTATTATTAACAAGGAAAACGTCGGTTCCCCCGCTGATATTACAGGTGAAGCAATAAAAATGAGTAACTACCTTTTTTGAAGGACACACGTAGCTTTTATTTTGTTTATAGTTGATAGTAGTGATCCAATTGTGAAGATATTTACTTAGCAAACTAACCAAATCCCGAGATAACACAAAACTGCAGCGTTCGGCATTTAGAGAAATAACTCGCCAGGTATATTTATTGTTCGAAACTGGCCGAATGACGACGTACAGACTACGGAGTGCAACAAAGGGCGTCCTTGGTAATTCAAACGTACCGGAAGTCGGTCGCGTGAGGCCAATGCTACTGAAAATATTTATTATTAAATCTTATGGCAGGATTCACGCTTGCTCCTCCCGCAAAGAGGTACGGTCAGATCGTGCATTCAAAGGCGAGACACATTTGTATTTTACCTGTGAACCAGCAAATAGACGGGGAGATTACATTATCTCAACTGCGTGATAAATTTTTTACAGGGCACGCCCGTGAAAGGCTCCCTCCACACCATTATTTCTCAAAAAAGAGAAAAAACGCACATTCAAACGAAAATATATTATTATTCAATTATTTTTGGTTTTGTAATTTACGATTTCAACATATTACATAAACGAACTCTTCATGGACAAATGTTTGTACCCAAGACTAGAGTATTCCTCAAGCAACCCTAGGGTACTGGAATGCTTGCTTATAAATGCTTCTATTTACTTTTGTATTATTTGTATTATTTTATTTCTATTAATAAGTTAATAAAAAATAATAGGTTAATATGTTGTTGAAAAAATCCTGCAATCTTCAAACATAATGGTATGAAAAATATATTGGGTTGTCCGGAAAATAATGCAGGATTTTGGTATTAAACAAAAAAAAAGAAACTAGTTACTTTAAAGCAATGTTCTTTAATCAAAATAATTTCCCATACTCTCAATACATTTCTCCCAACGTGTTGGTAACTTATTAATTCCGTCTGAGTAGAATTCAGAATTTTTAGAATTGATAAAGTCAATAAATGCATTTTCCAGTTCCGTTTGATTTTTGAATATTATGTGTTGTAAGTAGTGGTCCAGGTGTCTAAAAAAATGGTAGTCAGTAGGCGAGAGGTCCGGAGAGTAGGGTGGGTGAGGCAAAGTTTCATAGCCAAGCTCCAATAATTTTTGTGACGTTACACGTGACACATGTGGTCGAGCGTTGTCATGCAACAAAATGGGCCCTTTCCGATTGACCAAAGAGGGCTTCATTACTGCCAATTTCTGATGCATGGTATTAATTTGGTTACAGTATGATTCAGCATTGATGGTTTCGCCAGGATTTAAGAAGCTGTAGTGTATTAAACCAAATGAAGCCCACCATACCGTAACCATTACCTTTTTTTGATGAGTTGGGGGCTTTGGAAAATGTATTGGAGCTTCTCCTTTGTCGAGCCACTGTCCAGAACGTCTAGTGTTATCGTAGAGAATCCACTTTTCGTCACATGTAACAATTCTGGCCAGAAATGGGTCATTTTTGTTTCGACAAAGAAGTGATGCACAAACATCAAAGCGCTGATTTTTTTGGCGATCGTTTAATGAGTGTGGAACCCAATTTTCGAGTTTTTTCACTTTTCCAATCGCCTTGAGGTGGTCAGCGACGGTCGTTTTACTGACTTTGAGTTGCTCTGCAAGTTCTCGAACAGTTGTTTTGGGGTTTTCTTCCACCACTGATCGCAGAACATCATCATTAAGAGAGGAAGGCCTTCCACGACCTTCTTCATCTTCAAGGCTGAAATCTCCCTCCCGAAATTTTTTAAACCACCTTTGCACAGTGCACTCATTAACACAACCCTCGCCCCAGACTTGGTTAATGTTTCTAGCCGTTTGGGCTCCGCTTCGGCCGAGTTTAAACTCGTAAAAGAAAATCGTACGAAATTCTCGCTTTGACATTATAAGGATGACTGAATTATTTCCAAGTAGCGGAATGCTACAGAGGTAAACAAACAATATCATTTGGAAGAGGATTAATAAGTGTTGACATTCATACAAATGAGTAATCCTGTAAACGTAAACAGAATATTTTATATAGATTTTTTTTAATGAAAACTTAAAATCCTGCATTATTTTCCGGACAACCCGATAGCTGACCCATTGTTAAAAAACAAAACAACAAAAGAAAGCTACCAGCAAAACGATTACCATGTGGTCATCAAATTTATTAAACTTATTACAAAAAAAACACATTATCCTTGAGTTGGATGAATATTATGAAGTCACAGTTCTTCTTACGAAATAGCCTAGGGACATGGAATAATGACAGACAAATATTTACTTTTGTAAATAAAGCACTTGTTAGTAAAATAGTTAATTAAAAAAATCCCTGTAATCTTCACCAAAATGTAATGAAAAATATAACTGACCCATGGTCAATTGTTAAATAACGAAACAACAAAAGAAAGCAAAATGATTATCAACATATATCTACACAAAAATAAATAAACAATATTATGTACAATAAAACATAGAGGATCTTTCCTGAGTTGGATGAATACCCGTGGTCAACTCGTTAAAAAAACAAAACAACATATATCTTTACAAATAGAAAAAAATACTATTTACAATAAAACAGGTCTATCTTGAGTGGGATGAATGTTATGAAGTCATAGTTTTTCTTAAGAAATATCCTAGGGACATGGAATGCTAATAAACAAAAATCTTAACCAAAAATGAAAATTATAAATTGATCATGACCAACTTTACCAAAATATCCTACGGACATGGAATACTGAACAAATACTATAGATAAAGCATTTGTTAACAAAAAATAATAAAAAAATGAATGGAATGGCAACAAACAAAAATCTTCAACTAAAATGGAATGAAAAATATAGCGAACACACGGTCAACTTGTTAAAAAACAGAAAACAAAATGATTATTAACATATACCTTTAAAAGAAAAAAAACCCTGTAATCTTCAATTAAAAAATAACTGATCCAGGGTCAACTAGATGAAAAACTTATCCACAAACAGTTACATCACAAGCAAAACCACATATTGAATCCTTGTCAAATAAAGCAATACTAATACAAAACAAAAGAACATCTATTATGAATTGAATGAGCATGCCTTAAAGATAAGAGGAATAAATTATCGAATAGTGCGTTTATTAAGTTTATGGTGGTGGCAGTTTTTCTGTGAGTCAGTGAACACTCATAAAAAGGAGTGCCAAGCAGCCGACAAGTGACTATCTTTAATGAAGAGATGGGAGGGAGGGAGGGAGAGAGAGGGAGAGGGAGAGGGAGAGGGAGAGGGAGAGANGAGAGAGAGAGAGAGAGAGAGAGAGAGAGAGAGAGAGAGAGAGAGAGAGAGAGAGAGATGAAATATTAGATAGATAGAGAAGGAGGAGGAGAAAGAGAAAGAGAGAGGGAAAGTGATAGGGAGAGAGTATACAGACCCAGTAGAGTGATCAAGTTCCAATCAGTTAGACATTTATGTACATTCAATAAATTATGATAAAAAGCTGTCAATGCATAAATAGGCAAATAAAATTAAACTAAATAAATCTATTTTTCTTTTAAGTATCTTACCATTTAGTTGATGTTGGGGATTGTCAATGATACGAATCTGCCTTTCAGGGAAAATCAGCTCGCCATATAAGCCGTAGTTCTGACCGGCAGGCAATTGGAGTACAGCAGCTAGTTCCTCTTTTTGTGAACGTGGAAAGTAAAGAGGCAAGAGTACTTCATAAATGCCAGCATCACAGCTCTCGACAGCAAGTATTATCGTTTGTAAACATCCGATGTTTTTATTAAGTTGGTATTCTAATATTTTTCTAATTGTTCCTGTAAAAAAATAATTTCTTATAAGGTCATTCATAAATTTAAAAAAAAATAAAAAAATAAAAATAAAGAATAAACTTACTAAGAGCAACATGTGCGCCCTGGTCAGGTGGATAATTGTTTCTAACTGAGTTAATAACACATAAAGCCAGAGTTTTTACCTTCAGTTCAAATGCTCTTAGTAAAACATTTCTGAAAAAAATTCATGTGAAAAACATAATACTGCATTCATATATATAAAAAATTAACCCAGTACTTGTAGCAGTTGTGCAATGAAGTCTCAGCTGCAGTTTGAAATTTCATGTTGTACTTAGGGCCAACAGTATGGATTATAATTTTTGCTGGCAGATTATAAGCTCCTGTGACTGCTACTTGCCCAGTTTTACATTCTGAAATTCAATCGAGAAAATAATCAAAGGGTTAATAATGTTATAAGGTATGTTAATACCTTGGACACTCTCAAACAGCTCATTTTTCAATCCTGGGCCAGCTTTATTAAATATTCTATCACTTAACGTTGAGCGATCGTCAAAAGTTTCATTTGTAGAATGAACAAGAGCATCAACTCGCAATTGTGTAATGTCACCTTCCCTAAAAAAGTGGTAAAACTGTATTAATAAAACTTCTTTGTTTTTCTATAGTTAAAGAATGATAGAACATAAACAATAAAAGGTGAATAGTTAGAACCAAGAGATTTTATACAATATTATAATTTTAAAGGTAGTAACATTATATTTGACATGCATCTTACCAAAAGACAATTTTTTTATTTAAAGCTTGGTTGACTGGATATGGGCTAGAGTCATAATTTGCATTAATATTGTAATGTGTTGGTGCAATAATTGGATCAGTGTCTGCCCAAGTCTTTAATGAGGATATATTTATAATTGGATAAGACACCCTAAGTGGATCTTCTAACACTAACACCATCTAAAAAATAATAAAAGAAAAAATTAATTGAACATATACAATAGAATGTTTATTTCAAAAATATAAACAAAAAGACAAACTTTGCATGAACTTGAAAAATGACTGAAATCAGGCATTTGCTCAGTACACTTGTAAAACGTGGTTTTGATATAAGAAAGAACTAGTACATTTCAATTTTTACAATTGAGTTTCTCGCTTAGAAATAAGAGATACATACATTTATTTTTTATTTTTATATAAATTTGTTTGTTTTTTATTATATAAATATTATTACTACTATTTTTATATAAATATCTTAATTCATAATTGTATGTATGGTATTTTCATTGTTTTCCTTATATTAATATGCCCTGAATTGTTTTTTTTATCTTGATTGTTGTTTTTGTTTTGTTTTGATGTGACAAATTTTTGGTTAACTTCTAGCAGATGGCCGGTTCCATGCCATTATAGCATGCTAATAAAATCTATACTTAGTGTAACATATTGAAATAATAAATAAAGCATTATTATTATAGACAAAACAATAAGACAGCTATATGTGTGCAAAAATAATTATAATAAACACTAACCACACTTCAAATGATTTGAATCATTTGATCTGGTTATGTATTCAAAACTGACAAAAATAAGTCCCTGTACAAAGTGAAACTACTGAAGTTCAAACACGTTTGCAATTATAATGAAGTATGTAACAATGTCATAGATTTCAATGTTATATTACTGCTTTTGAATGAAAATAAATGTTCACTTTCCAAATAAAGTTTAAAAAAATCTCCCCTTAGGAAATTTAAAAATAATAAACTCTGGCAGTAACTTTTATATGTTTTCTGGTTTCAGTTGATGTTTTTATCCAACCACTATTTATCGAAGATGGCTGGCAAAATATTCAACTGTAATTTCCTCACTTTAGCCATCATAAACATTAAATAACAAATTCCTAACAATAAACACGAATCAGTAAAATGTTTGATATAATACCTTTATATACTCGTATTTTGTTGTTTACTTCAAACTATATGTATTTTCATTGTTATATTAATTCCAACATATTTATTTTATTGTAAACCAAATTAAATGAGATCAGAAATTCATGAGTATTAATCAAAATTATTATTATGATGGTTTGAAAAAAATTAATCAAAACACGAACCATTGATTACATGGTTTTGCTCTTAACGCATTAAGAGCAAAAACAGGTAATTAATTGTTTGTTAAATTTAATCTAACCCGAAATGTTTTTCTGGTGTTTTGGTGAAGTGGTTCTGGTTCTGGTTCATTCTGGTTTACATTAAAATGTGTTGTAATTAATATAACAATAAATGTAAATATATATATTTCAAAATAAACGCAAAAATTTAATAAAGCTGTTACAAATCAAATAATATTGAAAAATATGAAGAGCAACAAAATAAAAATAGAGAACCTATAAATATTCAACACAAAGTATCAACAACACACATAACATTCAAACAATTTAAATCAAACTTTGTGAGAATTTAAAGTGAGCAATTGTCAAAAGATAAAGAACAGAGACAGGTGACTTTGTCAAATATCTCAAAACTAATAGCAGTTCTAGATTGATAATGCCAACTCAATACACATTCAGAGTGGTACAATACAGCTAGTATAGGTTCAGCCAAGAAGAAGAAGAAACCGCAATACATTTTATATGCTGCTGCTGTAAAAACCTGACAAGGCACTGTTTTCTAGTAAATAAAGCTAAATTCGACAAATATAATGAGAAACCACAATCAAGATAATAGGGGAATGTGGGGACTCAGCTGAAGTGAGCTCTAAGTCATACGAGGAGGGGTATAAGAGTATTATCTGATGGATGTATTAAAAAAAGCTATGGCCACATCACACAAACCTAACCTAATCCTGAAACACAAAGACGACACTGAAACTTGTCTTGACAGACCAAAGAGCAAGGATAGGCAACAGTAACGGCCAAAAGGTTCATCACTCTGCAGACGTTTAGAGGAAATCTTAAAAAAAAAAAAAAAAATTAAAAATGAGGTTAAAATTAGTGAGCGTGTAGGTGAGTGAGAAGAAGGGAGGGGAGGGGTGAGGGGGAGNGAGAGAGAGAGAGAGAGAGAGAGAGAGAGAGAGAGAGAGAGAGAGAGAGAGAGATGTTACTTTTAATTATAATGGATATATGTAAATATAATGTACATGTATATTTTTACGTTAGTGTTACCAAATTTTACCATAAATGAAAATGTATCAAATTCATCAGAAATATTTTGTAGCTTTTTTTGTCTTAGGTTACTACTGAAACTTACTTTACTATTGTAAATTTGGGAATGCTGAACTACTTTTGGTTTTAGATGTCACTCATTGAAGATATAACTTATACTGAAATTTTGTTAAAAATCAAACTAACACTTTCAAAATAAATATCACCCCATTTGATAATTTAATTATCAGAAGTTGCAATTGCCCCAATATCAATTAGCTTTGAATGACTTGATTGCCAACCAAGATGTTATCATTAAATACACGTTTTTCTCAAAAACGGGTTTGACCTTCAAAACTTACTTTCAAAACAAACTATCAAAATCAGATCGTCAATTGTATTAGGGCTTTATAGCCCTGGTTCTAGCTCTGTCTATCTCTAGTCTTTGGTTGTAAGACTCATCTAAGTTGATCAAATCATTGTGATTATAATAACAAAAATAACAAGAAATTATTAGCCAAAACGTATTATATACTCTAGTTAGAAATAAACTGTTCTCAAAATATACTCTAATATTAAAAAATAAATAAAAAAAGCTTGATTTCAAAATAATCAAATCCTAGAGTGTAATTTGAATGTTCAAATTTGTAGTAAAATATTAATCCATATTTGATTCTTTTGTTCATATAATTTAGGTAAATGCTTTCCCTGATTAACCTTTAGTTGGGAATGAATTCCAACAGTTGTGCATTTCCATTGGCATTTACAATTTGCAATGTGTATATCCAAAGAACTAATCATGATTATGAGATTTGTGGAAATCAATTTATTATTAAAAATTTAAAATTTAAACTCATTGCTTTGCGTCTGTTGAAACTATAAAGTTGTTTAAGTACTGGTAGGACTCTAGAAGCCATTTCTATTGATATTTTCAGCTATAAAATCAAAACTATAAATTTTATACTTGCGTTGAGCACCTTCATTCATCAGCAGTTCATCCTGCCTCTGCTTATACCCTTGAAATCTGACTAAGGTGTTTTCTTGTTAAAGCCATTTATTATTATTATTATTAATTTTTAAGGGCGTTTTAACGGCTAAGGTCATTTCACGACCTAACATCCAAACCTTCTATCTTAGGTTAGCTATATCTCTTCTGAGTGCTATAAAGCTCTGACTCCAAACATTCACTCAAAATCTTATTTATCCTATTGCCATCCAAGCTTTAATTTTTCTTTTTAAAATTCTTAATTCGGAAGGCCAAATGTATACAAAATTCCCATTTTAAATTGCATAAAATTTTATTATTATTATTATTATTATTTTAAGGTGTAACTATCAGTGATATCACCACCAAATATAAACACTGGCTATAAGTTAAGTATTTGGAGAAGATGCCTTATATTTGGACTTGAACAAAAATGTAATAGCATAGTAGAATTATAGAGAGTGGAAGAAAAAAATGTAGTATCTTTAATCAAAGCCACTATTCCACCCATTATTTTTGAGATATTTAAAAACTCAAGTTATATTAAAGAATCAATGTAGCTTAGGAAAGCCATAAAAGGTGTTTTTTCTGCTAAAGCAATTAATAATCTAATAGGGAAACAAAGTATGTCAAACAAAGTAAAAATACCTGCTCTATTTAAAGAATAGAATCTATTTATATTTTTGGGGCTGGTTGGTCAACGAGTGAACAAACTCGTACGTTAAACATTGATCTCTTATATCCAACTATTCTCTTCGTGCTGTGCTGACTGTTTTATTTTGAATATGGGTCAAAATACACGAGAAAAAGGAAGTTCACTGTGAATATATTAACTTGGAAAGTTCTGTGGTGATGAAATATCCAAATTTCCTAGGTCACATACTAGATTACTATGTAATTGCAATTTAAAAAAAAATTACATTTATGTAAATTCTCCACAACTGATTTTTTAAGTAATACTAGAAACCGTGTAGTGATAAGAAAAAAATCGATAAATCAATATGGAAGGGTATAGCATATTAATACTATTTTCAAAGAGCCAAATTCTGTTTATGAATTACAAACATATATCCCAATATGTTATGTGATAGGTTTATCAATAATCTAAAAGTCTAAATTAGTTAACATTAAAAATTCTAATCATTGTCAGTTTAAACTGACATGGAATATAAATATATCTGGATTAAACATGAAGATGTAAATTGTTTTAATCATTTATCACAATCATTGGAAATATAAATGATATTGTGTAAAAGAAGAAAACACCTATTTATTTTAAGTTTGATCAACATGTTTTACTTGTGTGGTTTACCAATATAGTATTTATTATTAGAGGATGGCATTATTTGAAGCCAGTTTTGTACGCTCCATTGCAATGATTTATGTCAGATCTTGTAAAGGCTTCAGTTATATTTTTGTTTGGCCTGATTTTCCATTTTTCCCTCCAGAAAACATAGTAGGGAATGGTCGGTAAAGATGAAGATAAGCCTAAACATGCTCAACAGACCAAAACAACAAGAATAGGCAGACCAAAATGATAGCAAATTAAAATTTTTTATTGATTCTTATTCCCTTGCCAACGTTTTAATTAAACAAGGCGAATTTTTGGTAGATGAGAATAAAAAAACAAGGCAAGCCCTGGAACCCCTGGGGGCACTAGCTTTGATCAGTTTATTATGAGAATTTGACTAATCCTGAATGACAGATGTCTCAACTACACCTCTTCTCCTTACATCCTTTGTTGATGACAGTATTATTATCCTTTGACCCTGATTGATCCTACAGTTGCTTCAGAAGATCTGCAGAGACACGTCATGCATAGCTGATTAGTATGAATCTACAAAAAATTAAAAATGAAGACAAATAGAAGGAAATGTGTCCACATCACATGTACACTCTAAAGCAAATAACTTCTTACAATCTACTACACCTATGTTCCTATCATCAAAACTGAGTGATTTCATTTTACCTTGGGTACCACGTATACTCATGTTTAACATGGAATCAGCATGTGCAACTGAAACAAGATATAAACAAACACTACGGTCTGCTCTTACTTATGAGACGACAATCCAAAAAACTTACAATCATAAAATGCTATTATTTTATTACATAGAACTGTGGGAAACTGCTAAACCTTCCAATATATAACATTTTTAATCTGTAGTTTTTATGTGAATTTCAAATACTCCGTATTAAACAAAATAAAATAAAATCCATTAAAACCCATTCATCTAAAAATTAATTTCTCAAAAATATTCATAGTAGACGCCCATCACCCCAAAATTTTGCCCAATAGGTTTCATTCTGACAATCCAATGAGGTGTCTCAAACAGAAATGGTTTGGTCACCGCCTTTTTGGGGAAAAGCAATCAACTAGAGAAGTCAAGTGCAATGGGAGAATAATATTTATTACTTGCTCCCCTCATGTGACCATTTTCACAAATAATTGCTAACATTTACATGTACATTTATTTTCAAATTATTTGTTGATTAAATGTAGAAATTAGAAATTGCAGATTATAATGAAATATTGATTTTATTAAATAAAAAGCTATGAGAACTACATAGATGGTATAACATAAATCTTTATGTGTGATTTCTTGTTACTTATATTAGGTATTTAAACCACTAAGACGTGGACGTGGTTATAAAACAAATCTTATCTTATAAAACAAATACAGTGGGTTTTTGATCTGTTTTAAAACAATCTAACAGGAAAACAAATTATGTCTTGTCTAGTTATATAAAGGCATGTTTTTGAATGTGGTAGGTCAAGTTACAGCAGTGGCTGGAGTTAATTCTACAATTTCGTCATTTCCTATCATTTTGGTCTGCCTAACCTCGCTGCCTGTTTTGGTCCATCAAAAACGATTAGGAATAACCAAACTGCAGGTTCATCACCCCTTAGACCCAGGTAAAGAGATCTCACACAATTCAATAAAGCAGAGTGAATCAAACCCACACAGCAACATTGAAGGGAGAAAAAGAATCATCAATCATAAAACAATAAATTACTTCAAATCATATAGTATTTATAGTCTTTAAATGTTTAAAGTTATTAAGCCTGACAATTTGTAGAAAAACGAGAGAACAAACAACAAACATGTCTCGACAATAGGTTTTACATAATTTAAAAAAATTGGTGTAGTTAAGATTTCACCTCTTGTTGAGCACAGAGTGGTAAATCTGGAACAGGGTAGAAATTAGTTGAAGATGACGCTGTGCTAATTATTGTGCTAATTGCTATGTGCTAATTTGTACGTCACTTCAGGTGCTTGCACTTGCTTAAGACCAAACCTAACAATTATTCTCTTTTTAGTTATTAGTCTTCAAAATTTTGTAGTGGCAAGGGAAATCAGTTTTATTATGAACTATACATAGATCTGATCAAGGGTAAAAAAATGGTAGATTTAATGAGATTAAAAGGCATGTATCAGTGGTAGGAAGTTGGTGTAAACTAAGTGTTTCAGCAGGTTTCATTTCTGCATATCACCAGATAGTTCTGGCAATCTCTTAATCCAATTGAAATAATGCTCCTTTCATATAGACTTACTCCAACTTTTATTTTCATTTTTAATTACTGTATGAAGCATCCAGCTTCATCAACCCTGTTAACTTCCAATCTAACACTATGACGGTATTGAACAAATTTAACTTAAATGTAAAGATTTTTTGTCACCATAAAATAAGTCAAAGATTTGAGCAATGACAATTTTAAAACTTTAATTAATTCAGAAACCTAAAACAAAAACCTATTTTTCAGATTATAACTATTTTCCAATGTTAGAATGTAGAATATATAGAATAATAATAATAGAAGTTTAAGAAAATTGTAAATTGACTATTGCAAACCTCATGAACTTGAAATAAAATTGAACCCTAGAATATTTACTACCAAGCAACTTAAGCCGTTCGGTTAAGTATTTAAGTGCAAAGTTCTTTTCTTTCTATATCAAAGGAGAACTCATAAAATACAGACCAAAACGAACTCAGCAAGATTCTTTTGTTGTGCCAAATGACCTTTTCAGAGTCTGTCTTGCTAATGGTCTCGTCCAAAAAAATGTGACACAATTAAGAACACCAAAACTTCTGCTCCTTTGAATGATCAAATGTTTCCGCATTAAATCATCCTGTTCCACTATTTCTTGATACTCACCATTAGTTCTTCCTACACTTACAGCTCTATCAACGAAAAATTGTTTATTAATAGTAATAAGAAGTAGGGGTAGACTAGATTACTGAGATAAAATTGAGATTGTGTCAGTAAACAAACACAAAAAATAATGTCTTCAGAGACTTTTTTTAATTTGAAACGTATAACTCCATAATGTTGTTTAATTTCTGTATATTGAATACTATTACATGTTAAATGGTTTTTGTTGTTGATTAAAGTTTATACACTAATAGACAAATTTAAGACACCACTCAATTTATTTAATTTACAATTAAAATCATTATCGGTCTACATTTGTTTCAGGTAATTAGGAGCTATTGTAGTCAAAATAAACAGTAAATAATGTTTTGTTTACTTCCTTTTGTTTACTTTTGTACTGATTAATCCCTTTTGCAGAAAAAGTAGCATTATGCCCTTCCTTTCTACTAAGCCTAAAGATCGCTTTCCATTAATCTTTTTCCTTCGTTGATTCATTTGATATATTATTCTTATTCATAAAGCTTTTACGATGGCTCCAGTCAGGCATTTGATTGAGCATGACAGTGACAGGGTTGTAACATTATTAAAGGAAGGATACTGGCAGCATGAAGTCACCAGGAGACTGAGTATAAATCAATCTACAGTAGGAAGGATTCTTTGGCTCTTCAGAGAAACAAGGCTTCACAATAGAAGGCAAGGGCAGGGTCGACCTAGGTCTACAGACGAGAGAGACGATAGATTCAACAGACAGCTTCAAAACCGCAGCATTACAGGAAATGAGATACCAAATCTGATAAGACAAGTCATCAATGTTTCATTTTCCTAATTTCATATGGAGCTCAGGAGAAAGGTATGCCCAATGCTATATGATTCCTCAGGTGTCATTCTATTGTGAGTCATTGAGGTGGCTCAATGAAAAAATAACATCAGGGCCCACCACCTGGCTCGTGAACCTCTTCTTACCAAGGCTTAGAAAATGTCCAGGCTTCAATTCCAGTGAGAACATGTGAATTGGACAGTGGAAGATTGTAAATGAATTATCTTACCTCAAATCTTCAGATTGGCATAATTTCACATGGAGCTCAGGAGAAAAGTATGCCCCATGCCGTATGATTCCTGAGATGACATTCTATTGCGAATTACTGATGTTCTGGGGTGGCATTTCCTTGGACATCTGTACTGAATTGGTTGTTGTGCCAGGAAGATCTCTAACTTCATATAAGTACTTACAAGAACTAATCAAAGAACATGAGCCATTTGCCCCCCCCCCATCAGTATGAAATTGTTTGTAAGCCAGGGCCCATAGAACTCGTATTGTGTATGACTACCTGAACGAGGTTGAAATTGAGTGCTTGGTATGGCCAGCTCGAAGTCAAGATTTGAACCTGATCGAACGCATTGGGACCAACTTAAGCCATGAGTATGACAGCAAAACCGAGGTCCTAACAATCTAAAAGAGTTGGAAACGGCTGCTCTTCATGAATGGAAAAATTCCTCAGGAATTCCAAGGAATGCAAATGCATTTAATGGATGTGATTCGTGCCAGAGGTGTTAATACTCAACATTAAAGGACCAAAAAAGTTTTTTTTTAATTTTTGTTTTTGAATTGTCTGTCCTTACTCAAAAATTGCTTTTTAAATGCCTTATTTTACAACCAAATCTACTTTTGGAATGCAAAATATGGGTACACCTAAATACATGAAAATTTAAGGTGGTGCGTTCATTTTGTCCATTGGTTATATCTCATAGATTCATAATGGTGCATAATTATTAGAGAATTAATATTGCACCAGCACAGGGTCACTTACTGCGTCTGTCTCCACTCGCGGGGTACCCAGTAAGCGACCCTGTGCCGGTTCAACATGAGTTCACTAACTCGCAGATCAAAACCCATCATCAATTCGAAGAACTAATAGTAAAGAATATCGAATAAATATGTCTGAATGGAGTTGATTAAGGGGTTGAAACTGTTCAACCATGGATAATGAAGAATAAAAAAAATCGAATGCAATGATGAACATAATAAACAAAAGGCAAAAACTTATTCCAATATGTCAAATTTTAAGAAATTTTGAGGGAAAGCTGAATAGCTTCTATTATAAACCAGCAATGGGGAAATTTTGAGACGAAAAATATTCAAATAGTGGAGTCAGAACGACGCTTGAATAGCATGATGTTAGAAAAGTGGAAAACGTCTAAATTGAAAATCCAAAGAAAAGCTTTTACTTTCCTCATCGACGAGTTTGTAGGTCGGTTGTTCGGCTGGTCAGAAAAAGCGACCGAGGTGCCCTTGGCCGAAGTAGAAGGGTTTTAGCCGGCCGGTTTTTACCTTCGGGAAATTCGTGGGAAAGAGAAAAATGACAAAATATTTACCTTAAAGTTAAAATATCACAAAAAATAAAAACAGAGCTGTATCAATAAATAAAATATTTCCTCTTCTCTCCTGCAACCTCGCTCACTGCTCTCCTGATAACCTATGATAACGGCCGATAAAAATGACAGGAGAATCAATTGATTTGACATTTCTCAGCCACGAGGGTGAAAGCTTTAAAATAAAGCTCTTCCCCTCTTGAAAATTATTCTTTGACATTTTTCTCTGCCAATCAAAGCGATATCGATGAAAATTGTCGAAAACTGTACAAACCTAAATAATTTTAAATACAGGATTAAAACAGAAGGCAGGCCGTTTTCTGCGTTTGGAGGCAAATTGAAAATGCCTTGGGACCCAACTTCTGTCTGTGTCCTGCCTTGTTAATTTATTTATTAAAAGCACAAATAAGGCTTTAAGCTCCATGTATATATCTTAAAAATAAATTTAATTTTATGAACATAGTAAAATATTTTGAAATTCTGAAGTGTTGAAGACTTGGGATATGAAATGTATTTGGTTAAGAAAGGTGGGAAAAAAATTGAAAAATATTGAGGATATTTATTTGAATTAATTTTAAATATGTACATTAAAACTCTAAGTTTATAAGTGCGTAGAATTTTAAGATTGTTGAAGACGTTAATGTAGGAAGAAATATCATCTCATGATTAAATATTTATTTGAAAGTTACAATTTGGGCTGGCGTCCCTTCACCTTAGAAATAAATATAATTTTATGAGCATCGTAAATTATTTTGCAATTCTAAATGATAAAGCTAAAGTATTAGAAGAGTGTAGAAGGCTTGGGATATGATTGGTGCATTTGAATAAAGAAAGTGGGAACAAAGTTGAAAAATATTGAAAACATTTATTTAATTTTAAATATGTATACTAAAACTCTAAGTTTGTAAGTACTTAGAATGTTAAGATTGATGAAGGCATTAATATGGGAAGAAATATGATCTCTTGATTTGTTTATTTTAAAGGTACAAATACAAACTTCGCATGTAAATACCTTAGAAATAAATTTAATTTTATGAACATAGTAAAATATTTTGCAGTTCTGAAGGATAAGGCTAAAGTATTAGAGTAGTGTTAAGGGCTTGGGATTTGGATAAGAAAAGTTGGAAAAAAGTTGAGGGTATTTATTGAATTTAATTATAAATAAGTGTACTAAAACTTTAAGAAAAATATTGCTGCTTAGAATGTTAAGATTGCTGAAGTCATTAATATGGGAAGAAATATGATCTCTTGATTTATTTAGTTATTTTAAAGTTATAGGGTTCTCCACATGTACATACATATCTTAGAAATAAATTTAATTTTATGAGCATACTAAAATATTTTGCAATTCTAAATGATAAAGGTGAAGTATTAGAAGAGTGTAGAAGGCTTGGGATATGATTGGTGCATTTGGATAAAGAAGGGGGAAAAAGTTGAAAATATTTAGGACATTAATTTGATTTATACTTAAAAATATTAAAATTCTAAGTTTATAAGTGCATAGAATTTTAAGATTGTTGAAGATATATAGGAAGAAATATGATCTCGTGATTTATTTATTTATTTTAAATTCACTAGTTTCGTGGCCCGCTTGACCAATTAATATTTTACAATTAATTAAGGTTTTCAGTTGAGATAAAATTTTTTTTAAAGTTACAAATAGGGCTTTAAGCCCCTTCACATGTAAATACCTTAGAAATAAATTTAATTTTATGAGCATCGTAAATTATTTTGCAATTGTAAACGCTAAAGTATTAGAAGAGTATTGAAGGCTTGGGATATGTGGTGTATTTAGATGTGGAAAGTGGGAAAAAAGTTGAAAACTACTGAGGACATTTGTTTAATTTTAAATATGTTTACTAAAACTCTAAGTTTATAAATACTTAAAATGTTAAGATTGCTGAAGACGTTAATATTGGAAGAGTTGTGATCTCTTAATTTGTTTATTTTAAAGGTATAAATAGGTGGTGTTTAGTGACTGTTAGATAATGATTATTTGGAGATCGTCAAGACCGCATCTCACGATCTCCAAATAATCAGGTATAAATAGGGCTTTAAACCCGCTCACATGTATATATTTCAGAAATAAATTAAGTTTTATTAACATAGTAAAACAATAGTAATAGCAATAATAATTATAGAACAGATTATGAGTGAATGTTTGGAGCCAAAGTTTTATAGAATACAGATCAAATCTCCCACTTGTGTTTACAATTGGATTTTGTAAATAAATCTTTGTATAGACAATCTCTTCTTTGTTGCTTTTTTTCTAAAGCTTGTTGTAATATTCCAGTGGTTTGGACTTTTTTATGTTGTACCATTTTTAAGTTTTAAATTTATTTGAGTGGTGGTTTCAATTCAAGGGAGACAATTTCAAGTATTTGATTTTTCTTCATTTATGTACATTCCCACTATTTTTCTTTTATTTTCAATAATTTCACAAACTTCTTTTAGTGCCTTTAGTATCATCTGCATAAGCACTCCTTTCTTATTTCTAAAAACCTCAGCTTTTTAATAGGCCATTTTTATAAGCTTTACTAGGTTCAGTTTTTCAGGTAGTCCAGTTTTCCTCAATGTAGTGGACATAGCCTTTCTGCTAACTTTGTCAAAGGCCTGTTGGAATCAATAAAAAATGCATGTATGTCCAGATCATATTTATAATTTTTCTCAAAAACCTGTTTAACACAAAAATCTGATCAATAGTACATCAATTTATTTTAAAACCACATTTATATTCACTTATAATCTCTTCAGTACATATTCTAAGGAGATTTAGGACGATTGAGGACCTTTTTATGCAAATTTAAAAGAGAAATTCCTCTGTAATTTTTCTATAATCCTTTATCTCTTTTTCCTTTGTATATTGAACAGATCAAGTGTAACTTTGTTGAGGTTTGTTCAATTAATTATATGAGAATATAGGATTTTGCTGTTTCTGAAGGAGATCTGATACTGACAGAAAACGGCCAATTTATTATTATTTAATATTATAGATGAGTTTAGGGGTACTCTAAACACCTTTACAGGTCTTTTGTGTGAGAAGAGTTATGCCTGGTTTTTTTTCTATAAACATTATTTTATTCTATAAATATTATGTTGACTGTAATGGGTTCACCCTTTATTGGTTCACTCTTTCCTGCGAAATAAGGCAACATTACTTTTATTCATTTGATTCTTTGATGTCAAATGCGAGATTTTTTTTTTATAAATAAATGTATTTCTAATTTACTCAATATTTCCAACAAAAGAAAAAAAGCAATTCAATTTTTTTAAAACAATTTTTATTTAATTTGGTGGCCCAAAGATTTTAAATCTAGAAAGTTGGTTATTATTATTTTTAACTAAACACCATTTATTTTTATGCCGTTATGGCCGAAATGTATTATCAATTAAAAAAAATATGGCATAAAAATAAATGGTGTGTTGTTATATAAAAAAAATAATTTCTAGATTTAAAAATAGCAATCTTCAGTGTGTCTCACTAGAAATATGGAGACTTCCTCTTGAGGTCTGCAGGATGATGAACACTATAGTTTGATCAATTTTGCATATTTGTCACAGACTGAATATGGTTGTTCGAAAGACGTCTGACAGACTAACTCAGCGAGGATAGGTAGCGGGCAAATTATTTAATGATTAAAGCTGACTGAGCTTGGCATATTTATATTCTCAATTAAAATTTAAAAGTAATAAGATTTTAATTAGTTTTAATTAATTTAAAAGTAATAAGTAATAAGAATTTAAAACAACATGCATTTTCATTTTATCTGCATTATAGTGGGTTGGAATCAGCCAAGTAGTATGATGGTAATTGACAAACTTGAAAGTTTAATTGTCTATATAAATGTATATTATTGTTTAAACATTGGATTCACATCCCCACACATCTGTCTTTTATCATCAATTACACTTTGGATTTTTAATCCCTAGAAATTACATATCAATCAACTATGTTTAAATGTCCAGAAAGCATTATTTGGTGCTTAATATTATGTGCAAACAAAAAACACACTCACCAAAAGAAACTAGATAAAATTCAAAAAATTTTCAGGTTTTTCACATTACTGATTCAGTCAAAATTAAAATAAAAAACAACCGAACCAAAAAAAAGGGCAGGCTTTGAAAAGGGTGAGCTCACAGGTGATCATAGTATCATTGAGTACCATCTTCCCATGTTTTTAAAACTATTTTTTAGACGGGTTTGCAACAGAAGAGTTTGAATTCAGAATTCAGAATTGGTGAGGCAAGCGCTGTGCCAATGGCTACTGATCCCTTTTTAGAGTTTCTTTGTAGATCCAATAATACTTCTACTTTTAACAATTATTATTGCTGATTAAATAATGTTTCATAAAAATATTTGACAGTTTAGTTTTTCTTGGAAATATTCAATTTTGAATATATGTTTGCAATACTATACAACTTTTTGAGATTTTCGATACAGTTTTAATAATAGTAATATAATTTTCATTTAATAGCATTTTGCACCATTATTGTTAGGAAATAGATTTGAATTCACAATACTTTGTATATGTAATATATATAATCAGACAGTTTTGGAACTACTTTCAATATCATTACCGAAGACAAAATCAACCTTAGAAAAGAGTGGGTTAAAATTAAAGTAATGGATTATAAAAAAAAAGATTTATTTAAAAAATATGTCAAATAAAAATGCAATAACTTCTGTCATTTGTAATAACATTTGTTTAAAATTATGAAATGATTTATTGTTTTTGTATGTTACCTGGTATCAATGACAATTCTGATGATGTGAAAAGTGAAAAAAAAAAAAAAAAAAAATAGAAAAGTGAAGCTATAATTAAATCACAATTAGCAATTTACTCTTATAAGTACAAAATTAAACTAATTATGTCAAAGTATTTGATTTTATGTACATTATTTATGTCTATATTAATACCACTTGTATGTAATGTACATTTGAAAGGGTGTATTGTGTGAAAAATGCTGAAATAAATTTAATCATTTACCCAAAATGTACAATAATAGATTGCAAGGATTCACAACTGAATGATGACTTTGGCACATAAGAGAATTTTAGGTAAAACAAAACTTGAATTACTTGCATAAATTAACATAAATTACAGGCTATGATAGTGAGATACGATTCAAAGAAGTAACTACCCTGAAACAAATTCTTTCTCTCTTTTTTTTTTTCCTTTTTTTACACAATTACAATAATAATTTAGGAATTATTTACAAAACTATACATGCATAATATTGAATATGAAAGTTTTGAAGGTGAAATTTTGCTTTTCAATTGCATTGTACAAATCCCTCTTTTGTTTGGTTGAGAGGTTTTGAGCTAGTTTAAAAATAATATATGGTCCTTCCACATTTTCAAAACAATTGATTTAATATAAAGACTTCTTTGGAAATGTAGCAGTTTTCACTCTTGTATCATGATGCTTGTCTTGCTTGTGGAAAACCATACATGAGGAAACCCGTGTAAATAAAGAATGCGGAGACGATTGCGATGAGAGCATACATGAATAAATTTAACTCTGGCTGCCTAAACCTGTTCTTTTTCAACCATTCTAATACAACTAGTTCTGAGGTGAACTCTCCTGTAAAATTTCAGAAAATTATTTTAAAGAATTTCGAGGCATGTTTGGTCGACCTACCTCTGTAAATGCTTGGGAAACGATTACGGAAATAGACAACTGCTGGGAGTTTCACAACACCCCATTTACGGGCATATCGCGTATCGCCCATTTTCACAAATGTAATATCCATGTTTTCTGTTTCGTCGTCAATTTTTTCAAGTAGCTCGAGAACCTTTTCAGTAGCAGGATCACCCTCTTCATCTGAAACATGAAAATAAATTCAGAGCATAGTTGAATTCAGAAGAATATATATTTTTTAATTACAAAAGAAAATGGCTAGAAATTCGTTTTCATCAAGCAACTTGTCCACCATTTTTCTGTTGACCTCTTCAATCTCATTTTTCAATTCAAACACATCTTGGGATGTCAGCCAGGAGAATACTTTGTCTTCATCAGTTAAATCACCTGAAAATATTTAATTGGTGTAATGAATAATATTGTAGCTTATTTTTCATATTTTACCATCATAAATCAAGGGCATTCGTTTCCTGAAATAGACCAGTGATGGCGTGTTAATAACATTGTATTTCTTAGCCACTTCTGGATCAGAAATCTTGACCATGTCAATGCCTAAGTAATGTATACAATCACAATTATGATCAAGATTAATACAATCACAATTAAAGATGAAAATAACATGAAAGAAATTTAATCATATTAATTTACCATACATATCAGCTTCTCCATCAATAATTTCTAGTACTTCTAACAATTCATCACAATCTTGGCAATCTTCATCATCTATATAAAAATAAAAATATAATTTTTAGTAACTTATATGCATTAATAAGATGAAAAACTTACAGAAGAATACAGCCAAAAATAATGATTCGTCAAGCAATCTTTCCATCATTCTGGCATTTACTTCCTCAATTTCATCGGCCAGCTCTCTGTTATCGTCATCGACCAACCATTCTAAGACTGACTGTTCATTCTGAAGATCTCCTAAATTTTGCTTTTTAAATTGTTTTATCTTTCATTTAAATGAAGTTTAATTGAAAAATTAGTGACCTTCAAACAACAACGGGTTTCCATTTCTGAAATACACTAAAGCTGGATATGTTTTAATGGAATATCTTTTGGCCAATTGTGGGTCCATTATTTTCACCATATGGATGCCAAAAACATCACTTTCATCATCTATCTTTTCCAAACCTTCAAGGATCTCATCACAGATGTGGCATACTGGTTTATCTAAAAAGACAAATATGTTGATTTTGATAAATAAATAGGATTATAAATAACCAATTAAATAAAAGTATTCACAAAAATACACAGCTAAGTATTGAGTTTCTTCAACCATCGCTTCGAGCATCTCTCTTGTTATGAGTTCAATTCTGTCTTCAGTTTTTTGTGTGATTAACCATTGGAGGACCTCTTCTTCTTCTAATATGTCACCTTGGATTTTAAATTTAATATTAATTTGATTTATTTATGTTATTTCAATACAATAATACCTTCGAAAACATTTGGCACTTGTCCTTCAAAATAAACTATTGATGGAAATTCTGAGACGCCAAATTTGGAAGCAACACTCAAATCCTAGGCGAAAAAAATCTTTTAATTTGTATTATTGCAGCATTGTTTAACCAAGTTACCTTAGTTTTGACAAAAGTTATGCCATGCCGGTCGCAATCATCGTCAATGTTTTCCAACTCTTCCAGTACTTCTTTGCACTGGGCACATTCGTCGAGTTTACCATCTATAAATATGAAATAGCAACTGTCATTTTTGAAATGCACAATTTAACTTTATGATAATTCAATCTACTTAATTTTATCTAGTTTCTATTGATGAGTGTCTTTTGTTTGTGCATAATTTTAATCATAAAATAGTGCTTTCTAAACATTTAAGTGGAAAACATTATAATTGATTGATATTTAATTTCAAGGGTTTAAAAAAAAGTTTAATTGCACATGATAAAAGACTTTGTGTGTGTGTGTGTGTGTGTGTGTGTGTGTGGATGTGAATCAAATCATAAAAGAATAATATACATTTATACAGACAATTATATTAGCAAGTTACCATCAAATACCTGGCTGATTCCAACCCTCTGCAACGCACATAAATTAATGAAAATGCATGTTTTTAAATTTGATAATGCTTTAATTTTTGAGTATAGAAATGTGCCAAGCTCAGTCAGCTTTAATCAGTTGCTGTAATTTTATCATTATTGATCCTTTTGGTTTGCCTGTCCTCACTGGGTTGGTCAGTAAAGCGTGTTTCGGATTCAGTGGATAGGCAGACCAAAATGTTGCTAATGATCATACACATTATTCATTATACCTTATTATTAAAAATAATGCATTTGAGTGCTACATTGCTATGAGATTTAGCATTCTTTCATAGTTATTAATTATTTTATTACTCTTAATTTTTCCATATATATACAACAGAATATCTATATTTTAGCAAAATTATCTGTGTTCATTAGGATCGACATTTCCCCAGTTTTGTGAAAAAATTTTCACACTGTAATACTAATATTACAATAAATTAAGTTCTTCTGATTGTGGAGGGGAGTCTTTTTTAATAAAAATCATTGCTTTGTTAAGTAAGTTCCATAATGAGAAAAAATATCATCAGTTTGACCAAAAATATGGAAATCTTAACAAGTTTTTTTAGAGATGATTTGATCTTTGAATTTATTTTTATGTGTAAGTAATGAAGTTTCTTATTCCGTTTTTTACAGAAAGACAAAAAATTGATTGGTACGACATGATAAAGAACTTCATTAAACTCCAAAGAAAATAATACAACCAAAAAAATCTGTAAAAGTGTGCCAACTCTTTGGATTTAATTGAGCACGTATGTAATATGTTTCTAACAATTATATAATATGTTGAAGTTGAGGAGTGGTCAAAAACAACACATTATAACAGCAGGTCACTAAGAAACATATATAACAAAGTATAATAAATTTGATTATATATGCTAATATTGAACTATTGAATTGAATATATAACTTGATTATAAAAACTTGCAAGCTGAGACTGACAGTGGGATTAAAAAGCTGACTGTTTTATTATTTGAACTCTATTATTTTATAGATAAATGTAAATGAGCTGAATGATTTTTAAATGTTAATAATACAAAAGAAAAATAAAGCTATTATTGTATTAATTGGTATTAATCCCTTGAAATTTCAAAAAACAAAATAGTAAATATCAATCAAATCTAAATGAAACTTACAACTGCTGTGCATACTGTCCTTTTATTCAAATCGAGAAAACAAATGTTAGAAATTAAAAAAAAAACCTAAGAAAAAATGAAATAAAATATCTAATATTTTACATGATATTTTGGTTGGGTGTTCTGTTCTTATTCAATTAAAATTGCTACTACATATAGCGTAGGTTTTGTTTTTGTACTATAAATACCCTCGTTATCTTCTGCTGTTTCATCTTCTGCATGTTTGACGATCTTCTTGCGATATGCTTTAGAATTGCAAAGATCACACTGAGTCTTGTTCCCTAGATATGACAGTAAAATCTTAAAAAATCAACAAGGCCAAGGAAGAATTGTAGGCTTGGTAAAGATTTAAAAAAAATGATTTTTGATTTTTTTTTTTAAATGTTCTCATTCCTTTTTGATATATTTATATTTAAAAAAAACTGTTTTCAAACAAACAATTAAAAAATAAAATGTTACTATTTTAAAATTGTTAATTGCTCATGTTATTTAGATGTTAACAAGCGAAAGTGTTCACTTTCAGCACTAATACAAGAAAAATCTATCAATACAAGACAACTCACTTTAATTTGTCCAAAGAAAATGATCAAATCATGACTATTGAATGAATAATGAAATAATTACTTAAGTAAAAAAAAATAACTTGTGGTGAAAATTTTATGTACCTGATTTTTCATAAGTGTACGTATATTGATACTTACAAAAGTATACCGCCAAAGAATCAGAATTTTTAATCATTTTCAACAAAGCATCACTTTCCAATTCTTCTATTACATCCCCTGAAGGGTCTTTTTGTGTTAACAACCACTGCAGAATATCATTTTCTTCATACAGATCACCTGAATATATGGGTATAGTATAAAATCTTCAAAGCGTAACTCAAGCACTTCCAACTACCTGCATAAATAACTGGTTCTTTTGAACCCATCTTGAAAAATAGAACAGCAGGTAATGCAAACACTCCTAATTCTTTGGCCAATGTTTTATCATTAATTTTAACAAAATCAATTCCGGCAGCATCAGCATCATCATCTATGTGTTCAATTTCAGTAAGTACTCTTCCACACTGCTTACAATCATCACTGTCTAAAAAAATTCAAACAAATAATTATTACATCATAAATCTTGAGAAACATCAAAAAGTTTTTTGGTTTTAAAGCAAATGATGGTTTGTAACTTGAAGATTTGAAGTACAAACTTTTTAACTTATATTACAAGTCCCTTACAAAAGAAAACAGCAACATAATCTGATGTTTGTCGTATCTTATTGAACATTTTTCTATTCACTCTTTCAATATGTTCAGTTAGTTCCATATTTGCTGGATCAGTCAGCCAATCGAGGAGTTCTTCTTCATCATCAATATCCCCTGTAAGAAACATCATTACTAATTGTATAATATTTGATTTTAAATAATTTTTTTTAAATGTTACAAAATGGTAGTTGGTATTTAACAAAAGTTAAAAAGTCATTATTTTCAATAATTGTTATTAAATCCAAATATTTTCTGGGTTTTAGGATACTTGCCGTCATAATTAATATATTTTCCTTTTCGAAAGTATGTTATACCAGGAGGTTTTCTATACCCATATTTCTTAGCCATTAATTTATCATTGCATTTGACAATTTTGATTCCGTACTCTGCAGCTTCATCATCAATCAATTCTATATGCCGTAAAACTCTGAGGTAATCTGGGTCCTCTTCATCATCTGAACAGACATGAACAAATTGATTCTTTAGCAAAAACAACCAACATAGTTATTTTGAATATAGAATTTTGAAGTTTTACTCACAAAATACAACTGCTAAAAAGAATTTGGTTTCAATCAATTTGAAAAGTTTCTCTCTATCTATATCATCGATACTTTCATCATTTTTCTGTTGTACCATCCAATCAAGGACTTTTCTTTCATCCGACAAATCTCCTATATTTTAGAAAATAAAAAAAAAAGAAAGAAAAGAAAAAAAGAAGAAGCTTACTCTTCAATTTATTTCTTCTAATAGCTGTTTTTGTGAGACATTTAAGTGAAGAAGGACTGGATTGACTAGCCAATAAAAATGAGACAGTTAACAAAAAGTATGCATGTATTATGTAACAATTGAGAAATAAATAACAATAAGCGAACACAAAACTATTATTAATTAAAATGAACCCTGTATATGTTTTTTGTCACTGCAAAATAAAACTACCCTTACGGTGTGTAGAACTTAATAAATATTATGAATTCATCACTGAGTGTGTAGCAGTATAATAAATAAAACAACCAAAAAATAGTAGCAACAGAATAAACTAAGATTTTGTCTAAATGATATAAGCCAATCTTAATTAAAATAAGTAACAACCTATTCACCAGTCATGTCATAAATACAAATCTAGATAACTTTAATAATTTAAAACAATTTTATCACATAATAGACATTTAATGTAGGAAGAGCAAATGATCAAAGGGTAGTTGAATTTCAGTATTTATTTTATTAGTAATTATTTAAAATCATGAACACATTATTAGAGGAACCCTAGAAAATAAAATGGATATTTCTGATTTGATTGTAAATTAATTAATTGTTAGGATTCGTGTTAAATACCAACTGTTTGCTGAAAAACAACTCACAACTTACACTTTGGAAATGCTATTCAACTTCTTTATACATTGTAAATTTTGCAATAGTAAAATGGGACTACTTTTTGTATTAATTACAATAATTGATTATGTAGCAATTAATCATTAATGAAAAATAAATTAAATAATAATAATTGTACTAAAAATTAATTTTATAGTAACAGTCTTGTTTTGATGGAAATTTGTGTTTTCGTTTTGTATTTCGAGTTGTCTTGTTTTATTTGATTTGTATTTTTAATTAGCCAAATAATAACAATAGTGATTGTAATATGAAATTGTATTTTAAAGCAATTATTTTCATTCAGAATGTTTTATTTTAAAATAAATAAACAGTGATAAATAGGAGGAATACAAGTACACTACAAAGTTAAGAGAAGAAGAAAACAATGTAAAGATTTAACAGAGTGTTTGATACAATGAACAGATTTAATTTGAGATCAACTTTTTCCAAAATTTACAAATTGCATACAGCTTGCTCTTGTGATTTAAATTTTCCTCCTTAAATAGTGTTAGCCGTTAACATTGAAGTTCCTTTGTCCGTTTTCCTTTTCTGGGGTACCAAATTCCATGAAATCCAGCACAAAACCATAATGACACAACAGCTCAACTAGTCTTGTGTCGAATTTCATTTAACTTCAAAATGTAAGAATTTGGTCACCACCACCAAATATATTTTCCAGTGCCAAAAAGACCTTTTTTCCCTTTTCCTTGTTTTTCCTGGACTTTTACTGCCTTTTCCGCTGGTGGTTTTCCTGTCAGTTTTTTAGGAGGTGGTGTGTTTTTAGCGGGTGAGCGTGGAGGTGGTGTCACAACTTTTGCAACTTTGGTCTGTTTCTTCACTTTGATCGGGCAGCACTTGAAGGAGTCGTAGGATGATTTGGGTGGAACTTGTTTACCACCTATCCCAATCATGAAGCAGCCATCGCCTGCAGCAAAATATTCAGTGTAAGCAAAATTATCACCAAGAAGTATAATAAAAGTTTAATTGGTACTGCACTGCTTTTTAAATATATTCTTAAAATGTTTTAATAAGGAGTATTTACACATTAATGAGTAATTATATTATAATGAGGTAAAACAGGTAAAAATTTAAACTTTAAAGTCAAAAATTTTATTCCTTGCATGCTAACAATATTTTCTTAAATTTATTACTTTGAAAATGAATTAAGGCAAAAACTACTGATTGTTAAAATTTATTTTAAAAAATATACTTATTGACTTTGAGATTTGACATGTAAGTAAAATGATAAAAAAAAATGGAATTTTTTGCTGCAGACGATTTGACTGTACAGTTAGACAAGTTTAACTTTTCATGCTTAAATCAAGCTATTTTTTTATTTTGTTAGTTTAAAGCTTTCACATTAAATAAATGGACATCAATATGATAAAAAAAATTCAAATTACATTCAGTTTTTTCAAAACCACTACAATGTTTTGTTTTTTAATAAAACATGTTATGTAACATTAATTATGCTGTAGCTGTGAACACTTATGCTCCATAAACCCAGTTCTTTTCCTAGTTTACAAACTTTCTACTGTTCTAATGTATCACAGAATCCACACTATTTTTTAAATAAATAACTAAAATACACGAAAAAAATTTTTTTTTTGCCCAGGACAAATATCAATTATCAAAATTGTTTTGTTTTACACACATTGAACTTCTTTTGAACTGTTATTATTGTAATAGTGACAAATACAGTATGAATGTGAACACAAACAAAAAGAATATATATGTATATGTAAACGATATTTTTGCGTTCTTAAGCTCACTTTATTTTGGCAAAAATTAATTGAAATTGTGAAGAAAAGAGAACATAAAATAAAAAGGTCCTATCACCCTCGGGGTGCCGGTGTTTTTGAAAAAAAAGCTCATTTGTAAGTATGTTGGGTTTGATTGCAGGGCCGCTGGATTCGAACCCCGGACCTTTACCTTACAGTGATGAACGGCGTGTCAATGCTTAAACCACCATTGCCCCTGTGTTTTATTATAATATTCTCCTTAAATTTCTTTGCAGTTTGACCATCTCTGATTGTTTGACTTCACATATTCTTTCATAAGTAACCCAAAAGTTATGGCAAGTGAACTTGAACGATTGGGGATGATTGAACTACTATCAAATATTCAACAACTCACAATCGAGAACATATTTCATTTTTCAAAGAATGGATTAGTACAAAAAATAAGTGCTTACAAATCTAATTTTAAAAAAAGTGCATGGCTTTACTACAAAAAGAAAGCAAATATGTATTCAACTCAGTCCTGTTGAGAAGAAAACAATGAACAGTCATATCTCTTGAGTTGGCAAAACAAGTGCAAAATTTCTTATCATGATATATTGTTTGATTTTTCTTTGTTATTTATTAATCATAATAGAGAAAAAATTTTTGTGAAAAGAGACAATAAGATAATTGTTTTAACTTCATCGGAATCTTATTTTTGTGATTGTCATTATAAAAGGGATGTCTAAAACGAGTACATAATTAATAAAGTATGAGTGTATCGAAAAAAAAATTTGCTAGTTTTGACAACTTTTACAATTTGAAATCACTAGTCACTAACTATATGTGTTATTCTACCTGAAGATATTTTAACTACATCATTACTATCATCATCATCATCGTCATCATCATCATCGTCTTCATCATCTTCATCCTCATCCTCATCCTCATCATCGTTGTCGTCATCGTCATCATCATCATCATCATTACCTAAATAATTATTATTTATACATACAACAATGACCTTAAAAAGTGTCCGTGAACTTTCGTGTCATAGATTTTTGTTTTTTTATAAGTACTAATTGAATACTGAGCTTTACTGTAAATTTGGAATTTTCCGCTTTACAAAATTTAAGAACAACTCTTCAGTTTAACTCGAATAAGAAAGACTGGGTTCATATAAAGGCAGATAAATAAAGACATTTGTAATGACATATTATTTGAGTCAACAAAGAACATATTCAAGGTTAAATTAAAAGTTTGTTTAAAAATGTGTGATTTATAATGCATTAAAGGAATGTCTTACTTTTTTGTTCAACTAGCCAGTCCAGTACCTTCTCCTCATTTTTAAGATTACCTATAACATGGCCATTGCAATAAATAAAAATTGATTATAGGAAATCAACAGCCTGAAGATAAAAAATTGAAAGCATAGGAGAGAAGCTTTTAGTAAAGCGAAGCAAACAAATCTTACCATCGTACATTATAGGTACCCCCGTTTCATAATAGACAAGAGCTGGAAAACTGAAAATACCAATTTCAGAGGCTAATTTAGCATCATTGGACTTGACAAATTGGATTCCATGTTTGTCTGTGTCATCATCAATTGTTTCTAACTCCTCAAGGATTGTTGCACAAGATGGACAGTTATTACTGTCTAACATAAATAATGAATAATTAGGACAATTGTTCTACTTTATCCATAAAGGATTGTGTTATTTACAAAAAAAGACGGCTAGATGCTCAACATCCCTGATCAACACCTGAAGTGTTTTTCTATCAACCATTTCTATGACATCCGGTTCTGATTCGTGTAGTTCTAAAACCCATTCTAAGATATCTTCCTCTTGCATCAAATCACCTAAAATTCAGAATTGTTATTTGCCTTTGTCAATGCAACATTTAAAATGTGAGCTACCTGTGTAAATTTTTCTGAATTTGTTTCTGTAAAATACAAGGCTTGGCAAAGTGGGGAGATCATATTCTTTATCAATTCCTTCATCAGAGGTCTTAACAAATGAGATGTCTTTTTCTTCACATTCATCATCAATGTTTTCAAGCTCAGCTATGATTTTCTGACTTTTCTTATCTCCTTCTTGGTCTGTCAAATACAACAACTTATGTTTTCAGTATATTTAGATTAAATAGTATTTTTAACTTACAAAAAAATACTACTACATGTTCATTTTCATTTAATATTTTTTCCAACATTTTTGAATTAACTTCTTCAATGCGGCCTGGAATTTCTAATGTGTCTTCATCTGTCAGCCATGATAGTACTTCATCTTCATCCTCGATATCCCCTGAAAGAAAATAATTGATTTTTTCGATTGACAAAGATTGTCTTTAATTGTATAACTGACATACCTTTGTATTGTATTGGCTCTTTATTTCTAAAAAGGAATAGTGAAGGGAATGTTTTTATGCCATGCTTTTTAGCTAATGCAGTGTCTTCAGTAGTAACGAAAACCATGCCTGATTCATCAAGCTCATCATCGATATTTTCTAGTTCTTCGAGGATGTTGTCACATGATTCTCCTTCTTCACAGCGACCACCTATAATTATTAATAATTAATATTTTGTTTTCATTTATAATCTTTTTTAAATTGTCACTTACTGAAATAAACAACTACATATTCATGCTCATTTATAAGCTCTTTTAAAATTTCATCTGTGACTTCTTCAATGGTTGCTGATTCTTTTTGTTCGACAAGCCATTTCAACACTTCTTCTTCATTCATTAAATCTCCTAAAATGGTTTGACATTTAGAAGCTTTTCATATCATTACTTGATTATAAATTACCTTCATATAGTGCAGGAATTTTGTTTTCAAAGTACACGAGAGTGGGCAAGTGGTCGATACCATATTCTTTAGCTTCAGCATCATTATCCATACGCACTATTACAATGCCTTCTTTTTCTAGTTCATCATCGATGTTCTCTAATTCATTTAGCACACGGATATCCTGACTGTCATCTTTGTCATCTAGATTGCAGTTATTTTGATGTTAATGCTGTAACTGGTATCAACGCTGATTACTTACAGAAAATCACAGCAAGGTATGGTTCACTTTCAATTAGTTTTTCTACAATTTCATCTGTTACTTCAGGAATTTCACTATGTCTCTTCTGGTGTACAAGCCAACTGAGGAGATCATCCTCTTTCAACAAATCACCTAGAAACAAAATTATTCCAAATTTTATTGACTAGAATAAAAACATGGAATGAGGCAAACAAATTAAAGCTTGGTACCTTCATAGATATGTGGAATGCGTTTTTCAAAAAAGACTAATGTCGGCAAATTATCAATGCCGTATTCCTTGGCTTCATTATCATTGTCAATTTTGACAAATGCTATATTGTTTTGATCACACTCGTCGTCAATATTTTCTAACTCTTGTAATACCTTCTGACTTTTTTTTTGGTCTTTGTCGTCTAAAAATGAAATTTGTTGGTTTAGTGGAATTTTACTGAATGATTTGTCAAGCTAGAAAACAAATGGAGCACCTACAAAACAAGACAGCAACATGGGGCATTTTTTCAATAATCATGTCCAACATTTCATCAGTGATATCTTCAATTTCATCACTCTTCTGTTGCTTGTCTAGCCAAGCAAGAACCTTTTCCTCGTCTTCAAGTTGACCTATTAAATATTTAAATTTTAATTAAATTTGAAGCTTTTAATATTTCAAAATTGTAGAGTTCTTTTTGCATCTTACCTTCATAAAGCATAGGTATTCCTTTCTCAAAATACATGAGAGCTGGAATTTTTTCAATACCGTATTCTTTTGCCTCTTCTACATTGTCTAGTTTTACAAATACAATTCCTAAGGCATCACATTCGTCATCAATATTCTCCAGTTCATTTAATACTTTTTGTGATTTACGGTCATTATTGTCATCTAAATTTTTATTCAAAACAAAACAAACAAAAAACAATAAATTTTGTCAATAGTTATAAATGGAAATGACTCACAGAAAAGAACTGCCAAAGTTTTGCCATCTTTAATCAATTTGTCAAGCATCTCATCAGTGACATCCTCAATTTCATCTCTTTCTAGTTGAGCTATAAGCCACTCGAGAATTTCATCCTCATTTTCAACGTCCCCTGCAAAAATTAATATCAAGGCAAAGTGTAAAAGATTTGATTTTTGTAAAATTACCATCATAGACATTGGGTAGTTGTTTCTCAAAATAAACAATTGCAGGTAAATCGTCAATTCCATATTCCTGTGCTGCACTGGGGTCGTCAATTTTAACAAACTGTATTCCATGTTTGTCACAATCATCATCTATTTTTTCTAGCTCGCCAAGAACTGTCACTGACTCCTCGTCATCGTTATCGTCTGAAAATTTTGAAAATTCTGAAATATACTGAAATATAATCTGAAAATTGATTGGGACAAAACAAAGTATAACAAAAATAAATATAAAAAAGGGTAAGTTTAGTTGGATAGATTTATAAAATTTTTGAATTTAATATTTATTCAAGTCCTTTTGAATTTCTAATTTTAAACTTATGTTGAGGTGGGCGGCCCCAGAAGAAACGTCCAAATGCTTCGTTCAAAACATTTATTGACAATGTTTCGGACGTCTCACGCTCTTCATCAGGTACATAATCATTGTTTTTTGTGTCAGTAACACCCTTTCTGGCGCCCCCAGACCAACAGCATTAATATCAAGGAAAAGTGTAAAAAGATTTGATTCTTGTAAAAAGTACCATCATAGTCGTTGGGTTGGCTGTTGGTCTGGGACGCCAGAAAGGGTGTTACTGACACAAAAAACAATGATTATGAACCTGATGAAGGACGTGAGACGTCCGAAACGTCAATAAATGTTTTGAACGAAGCATTTGGACTTTTCTTCTGGGGCCGCTCACCTCAACATAAGTTTAAAATTAGCAATCAATTATCCAACAGCCGACTAAAACAAGGACATGAATACCTTTTGAATTTTTACATTTGCCTTAATAATTCATTTTTATAACTAGTTAGAAGCATTATTCCGGAATTTCGCAAACTTCATCTCATTTGTGGGTTATTTTGTCAAGTAAGTCCTATCTTTTAATGTTTGTTTAAAGTAAATTGGTGTGTTGGCATCATCTTTGTTTTGTCTGACACATATATAAGAGGACAGCTTGCAAAAGAAAACACAGAATAATTTCTGAAGATGGTAAAATTCATTTTATAGTCAAAACCATTGAGATTTACTTACAAGAAATAAAATGCTGTATTAAAAGTTTACACACAATTGAAATAACAAAACAATATACATTACATTTTTATTCATCATTCTCAATACTGTACTTTTTTCTTTATTAAGAATTCGCTCTTTAAAACTATTGTTTTAAAAGTTTATTATCAAAAAAGCTACTTACAGAAGAGGACGACCAAGTTGTCGATGGAACCAATTAAGGTGCCAAGTGTTTTTGCGGTTACATCTTCTATAACATCATCCTCGTCACCAGTTGACTTGTTTTGAACAAGCCATTCCAGGACATCCTCCTCGCGTGTTAGTTCGTCTGTAAAACTTATACTTAGAACCAGTTTTTTCCTCTTCTTCTTGAAGAGTTAAAAAAAATTACTTTCGTAAATGATAGGTATTTGGTGCCGGTAGTATACTAATTTTGGTAGTTCTCCGAGATTGTATTCATCTGCCAATGCTTCGTCTGATATTTTGACAAAACCAATCCCTAACTGATCAGCTTCATCGTCAATATTCTCTAATTCCTGAAGCGCCTTCGCACATTTTTTGCATTGTGGTTTGTCTGAAATAATAGTCAGAATTAACTATAAAGCATGACAAAATGATATTTTCAATTGGATTTTGGTAGACAGTATTAATTAACTTCATATAGAGAATGAAGTAAAATAATGGATTTAAGCTACTACATAACAAACCAATATTAAATCATGTTAAAATGAGAAAAAAAAATAGCTCCAGAATGATTCTGATCAAAGAAATGTGAAACTGTGTAATAAAACAAGTTTTGATTCTTACAATACATTAGTCTTTTAAATAGTATAAAAATTACATTATTTTTTTTGTATGAGAAAAACTGTTACATTACACTAAACTACTAAGAAAATATAAAATGTTTAGATTCTACTTAGATTTTTCTGAAAATTAACATTAGATTATTACTAAAGATGTTTACTATTGCTGCCTTTCCTAGCTATAATTCAAATTAGTACCAAATTTTTAGTCTACCAAATAATAAAAAAAAAGAAAATAAAACAATAAAATAGAGGCTATCATAAGAAAAAATAGTTCTGTCTTGGTTTAGTTCATTAGGTTGTATTTATTACAATGTGTAAAAAATATTAGCATAGTATATTATTTAGATAATTATTTGGATTAGTACTTTTTGTATTAATTTAAAAGTACAGTGGCTTTGAAATGACATGCTCCTTTCAGCCTGGGTGCATAAGGGAAAGACTGCTATAAACTGAAATTACATTCAAATGTTTTAATTAACTAGAGGATATTAAAGAAAATTCAATACAAGGAAGTTACTCAGCAAGTGCCTTCTACATAATTGGAAGATTCCTTGTCCATTTTTACTTACTAGAATTTGCAGCCGAGCATTTGCTTTGGTCCGGGCCTAAATCAAGTCCAATTCCATGTATCAAAAAACATTTAGAATCAAAATATGTAAAAACATAAATTAAGATTTTTATAAAATAAATTACACAATATCATTCTGTTAACATACACCTTTTTAACATACACGTTTTTTGTCACCAAATATTGTCAATAACAAAAATGGCATTTTGGTTACAAGCTTGTGTCCACTTCATAAATTTATTTCAATTGTATTAGACAACATGCAACACTTTAAATAGTCATTTATAGTTATTAATCTTCCAATAATATTTTGTGGGTTTATAATTTTTGAAGTAAATTAATATCAAATGATATTGAATGCATTTCTTTAGTAATATTACAAATTATTGGAACATAAAAGAAAATATTAAAAAACATCACATTGACTAGTTAGGATTATAACATTTAATTATGCACGGAAGTACTTGCTTGCAAACACCAAAAGCTTGAAAATTAACACTTTTATTTTATTATATATATTATTTTAAGTTGTTCAATAGTGATTAAAGGTCTTGAATGTTTTGTTCTGTTTAAAAATTGGTCATAATTTCAAGTAAATAATCTTTCATGGTGTATATACGGAAAAATTCCTTACAAAATAGAACGGCTACAAACTCTGTGTCTTCAACTATTTTATCCAAAATTTTTGAATTGACATCTTCTATCCTGTCGGGTAAATCCATTGCTTCCAAACTAGTAAGGAAATCAAGGACATTTTCTTCGTCCATAAGATCTCCTGCAAAAGATCACAACTGGGTATTACAAGCCTGAGAAATTCCTGTAATAATTTTTGGAAACATAAAATCCCCATAGGCAGGAGTACTGGGGAATGGATTATTCATGAAAGAATCCGATATAAACTTTATAAAAACAATTATTTAAAATCATATCTAAAAACAATTATTAATAAATTACATTGCCCATTAAATATTCAAATGCTTTAAATATATCTAAAAATAAAGGTTCCTTAAAACATAAAATAAAATTAATAATAAATATCACACAAATTAAAACAAAATATATTACCTTCATATATAATAGGTTCTTTCTCTCTAAAGTATGTAAGTGCTGGGAATGTTTTGATACCATATTGTTTCGCAAGTCGTTTATCATTGATTTTAACAAAGTCTACACCAAAAGAGTCTGTATCATCGTCTATTTTTTCTAGCTCCTCGAGTACTTTGTCGCATGTTACACAGCTTCTGGCATCTGAAAACAAATAAGTAGAAAATATTATTCCATGAGAAATTAATTTTGACAAATTTAAATTAAGTTAAAAGGTTTCATCCGATTGTAAAGTTTCAACTATTTTCCATTTCATCGAATTAAAGAAAGTGAAAAGCCTTTATAGTCCACGTGCAACTTTGACAAGTTTTATGTAATGATTCATGAGCCAGAACAGATGTTGTCAAGTCAGATAGTAGAGCCTGGCTGGCTCTGGGTCATCTATTAATGTACCTTAAGGTCCAAAAATGACATGCTTCCCAGATAGAATCGCTAAAAACTTTTACTGTCAGTTCTCAATCAATCGTCCCACAATATCTGCAAGTAGATAGTCATAACTTTTCACTTTTTCAATATATTATCTGGAGAATACTGTAGGTACATTTGCTTGATTTGTACTTTTGGTTGGTATGTCAAACCTTGGTATCTTTTATTTGTCTATATTATATTAATATTGTATTTTTGGGTGAGAGGTGTATATTAAGCTGATAGGCTTGCAAGAAATTATACTTTTTTAGTGTCTTTTTAAGTTTCTATAAGTACTGTAACTTTTTAAAACTTTTATTCCTTCTTGTTTATAATATCGTGGAATGGGCTGGATCATTTAGATCTCCTGTCTTTATAACAATAATAATCGTCTTAATTGTGTTTTTGTTCAACAATATATGTACGTTTTTCAACACTGCTATTTTAACTCTATAAAAACATAACTATGTTTAGTGGGTAAAATATTTTTTTTCTGCCGTTAGTACTGATTCTATTGGATTTTGAATGTTTGGAATTATTGAATGCAGTGTCATTTTTTACATTTGCAGTCTTTTGAAGATTAATAACATAACGTCGAGTTTGTTTCCAAAAACTGGTTCCTGTGGCTGTCAGATTTCACCCTTTACCTCTTCATATTTATAAATGAAAAGAAAAGGACACACTTGACAAAATAATTCACAGACCAACCACTGAAGATGGCGAAATGCGTCTGACAAAAAAAAATCGGCTTGAAAAGGAAGACCAGAAGGATCTGAGAATGAACCTCAACATGTTAAAAAATCATTAAAAACACCTATATATATATATTTGAAAACCAACGTATTTTAGATTTTAGATGTGATTACAGATATTTATTGGAATAAATACCGTAGAATCGTATAAAAAAAGGAAAATTTTGACTTTTATGTATGATCTCACACGATCGCTTTAAGAAAAAAAATACAGGAAGTATATTAATAATGATGAAGGTTGGCAGACGCTATTAGTAGAGATGGTGGTTCTTAACTGGTCTAATATTTAATGTGAACCGTGATGGGAGATGTTGAATGCACCTGTCCCATCGATCTTTACAACCGCATATTTTGGCATAGGCTGATCTTTATAATATAACCCTCCGAAATGGTTGTTCGCTCTTTTGATGTAGTTTGGGCTTCACACGATAGTAGAACGACGCGACGTCCCGCTCTTTATAGAAGGTATTCGCCTTTATTTCTATATTCGCAAGCAGTCTAGACGACCTTTTGCCAGTTCGGCCTCTCGGCCAAGTTCTCCCGGCCAAAGAGAACCGGTCGAAATTTCTCTTTTTTTCTGGTCTCTAACAGCTGGCCGGTAAAACTGAATCGTGCTTTTTTCTATAAGCCATATCAAAAATCTACCAACAACAGGCTGAATGAGTTGCTTTACGATATATACAAATTAAATGTTTGTACTATAATCAATAAATCACTATTGAGATAAAGATAACGTACGAACGTTTGTGTGGGTTAGATAGAATAGAAGACAGATAGATAGATAGAATGTATGAATAGGCGAGAGTGAGAAATAGATAGAAAGTGAGAGATATAAGGGGAGGGAGAGCAAGAAAAAGGTAGATACATAGATAGAAAGCTATATGATAGAAACATAGAAGATAAATAGATAGATAGATAGATAGATAGATAGATAGCTGGAGAGAGAGAGAGAGAGAGAGAGAGAGAGAGAGAGAGAGAGAGAGAGAGAGAGAGAGAGAGAGAGAGAGAGAGAGTGAGAGAGGGGGGGAAGGAGAAAGAGAAAATGAGAGAGTGAGAATTGAATTGATTTCAAACGCTTTATTTATAATACTCGCAGATTTAGGTCATATTGACCTTTCTTACAATCAACGAGAGAAAGAGAAAGAGAGAGAGAGTGAGAGTGAGAGAGGATTCTTAAAATGGAAGAGAGAGTAATACGACGAATTGTAAGTTTCTTACTTTGAAAAACAAGATAATAAAATATTACCGAACTATAAATTTAAACTTGATTAGACTGTACTTAACATTAACCTTAACATTTGACAGAATTTTAAATTTTGTTAATAGATTAACCAGCAGACGTTTTAGTATTTCGACAGACAAATCTGGCTAAAGAAAACTTCCGTTTCTAATTTTATTTGTATGAAATTTATAACGAAAAAACTTGAGGTGAAAAAGAGATGAGGGAAGAAAGAGCGAGATAGAGAAACAAATAATTAAGATGTTGTGAGAAGAGAAGAAAGAGAGAGTGAGTTACAGAGATGAGAGAGAGGGATCGATGGAGATAAAAAGGTATCTCTAAGGAAAAAAGGTAAAGATAAAATCTCACCAATGAAGAAAGTGAAGTAGAGAAGTAGAGAAAGAAAGGGGACGCTAGAGGCTGCGTGGTTAAGGCAACCGACTCGTATATGCCACACTTGCAACTCTAGGTTCGAATCCTGGCACTGCCCAAGTCATTTTAATCGGTGATAATATGTAAAAAGTATTGTAAAGTGGTTTTTAATCCTCGCTAGATACTATATCTATCGTCGACATCTCTTAAGCAATCTGTACGGTCGTGCAGTACATCTAAATTTGTGTGTGTTTTCACCTGTGTGGAAAACAGGTGGTTAAGGGAACACAAAGAACGGGAAAGTGAATGCCAGAAAGGCTGGCGTCCAGCCAGTTCAGAAAGGTTGTGTAATTATTTCCTGAACGAATTACGTTTACCACCGGTGGATTATCGTCAACTTCCTTGGATGTGAAAAGTGAGTTTACTTCTGACGTGCCTTTTTTTTGTACTGCCACAGCCAATAGGAAACAGTAGTTTAGGAAAGGTTTAATGTGTTGAGAATTATGATCATTTTTCAAATCATTCGTTCTACCCCAGTTTAAAAACGGAAAATTATATTTTTCCTTAAATGGTATATCTATAATCAACTTATTATTATTAAAAAAAATTAACAAAAACTTCAAACAGTTTTTATAACCCGTAAAATCAGACTATTGGTCAAGGCGTAGTCTACTAAACCATACATTCTTTCCAGTGTTGCGGGTTTAGCATTTTATCTCCCCTTTGTTTCAAGGCCCGTTTATACAGGTAATTTTCTATCTGTAATACTAAAAACGGTTTAGAAGTGGGAGAGATACCATTTCAATAGTGTAGAAAGAGAAAAAGATAGATTGGAGGTAAACGCAATGTTTTAATAAAAATTTTCACGTTTTCACTAGAGTCTCGGTTTAAGAAACCATGCCATATCACACATCGTTGGAAGAAGGAACGTTTTGTTGTCTTGAAAAGTAAGCCTAATGTGCAATTTGTAAACAATTGCTATCAGCACTATTTTAATCCGTAACTAGTTACTTTATGTTTTTTGTTCGGCTTAAAATCTGACTGAATCTTTTTTTGCCTAATTTAAACAGCTATTGAAGACAAATAAAAAAAAATACTGGATGACTTTCGAAAGGTATGGGGCGGGAGAGAAAATGTATGAAGCAAGCTTAAAAAATAGTGTGTATCTTAATAACCTGTTGTTTCATAATTTGTTTAAGTCGTGAGGAGCGGTCAAGAATGAAATAGCTTAAACAAAACACCTTTTTAATTTTTTTGCTTTCATTGATTGGTTTTTATATATCGGAAATAATATTATTAAAAAAACCTGAAGTACCCCAAGAAATGTTATGAGATAAATTAATTGAAGAGTTTTTTGCAGTGAATTTATCTGAGGAAGAAATGCGTAAGATAGCTATATTAGCAGCTAGAAATGACGAAATGAAAAAAAAATCAACCATCTTATTGTGACATAATTACCACCATTAAATTGTTAAGTGTGTTTCCATAGTTCATGCTAAGTCACTAGATGGTGACAAAGCCAACAAGGAAAACGTAAGATTATAGTATCCCATTGAATATTTATAATCAATGACACCTTCGGGTTCTTCCTGCAGAATTGCACTTAAATCAGGTTGAATGCTACTGAGAAATGTATGCATAAAAGACGGTTTGTGTAACTGGATCCGTTTGATAGTAAAAGAAAGTGATATAACTGTACTACACTGCGAAATATTAACTGGAAATAAAAAGAGAGATATTGAGCATCCCTCGAATATAGTCACCGTCGGATAAACCGAAATGCCCTTTGTTTTGAAACGGTTGCAATTCCCAGTCCTCTAGTATTTGCTACGACAGCAAAAAGTCCCAAGGACAAGTTTTGAAAAATAGGCTGATTATAAAACAAAAAAATTACAGTATTTACATATTGACAATAATATGTAGTTGAAAAATGTCAAAAAGGAGGAAAATTTGAAAGGTTGGGTTGAGATGGGAAGTTGGTGTCCGAGTGGATCGAAGTCACGATAGCTCAAGTGGGTAGAGCAGCGGCGTATTTAGCCGAAAGTCGTGGGTTCGAATCCCGCTCGTGACACTGACTTTTTTATCTCAACCAAGACCTTAAATAAAGATTAATTAATTGAAAGATGTTATTTGGTCAATCGAAATCTAATGAATTTAATAATATGTCGAGGTGTACGACAAAGGTGGGCATTAAAATATAATGCAAATTAAAAGAAAAATTCTTAGAAAATATTGCTTTCAACAAAGCGTTGGAATAGAGTACAAGTTATTTTTTCCAGGGAGCCTGCCGAAAATCGAGAAGCGCGGAAGTTTTCGAGCTTATTTATTTGCTATTTCTTTTTTTCTTGTTTAAAAAATTATGATAAGATAAAAGTAAAAGGTAAGGGCTTTTTCGA